TCCCTGCTGTGCTGTTGCTGCAGCAGCTGTGGCAGACCCTGGGGTGACCCCTTGCTTTGCTTAGCAGATGCTTCACCTCATCCAGCTCGTGCACTGTTGTTTTTGTCCTGTAGAAGCTGGTTGCAATTCGTGTTTGGGACCTGATTGTGTGGGATAGCTCTTGGTGTGCTTCCCTGCACAGCCCATCCCCATGCATTTGGGACGACCACAAGATCCAGTCTGCTTTTACCCATCTTTGGGAGCATTCTGGAAAGCTTTGGGTGTTGCATCTGCACTGCAGAATGCTGGACCCTGGGACATGGGACTGCCTTTGACCTGCGGGCCCATCCTCTTGCTGCTGGTGCTTTGGCTTCAAATGCAGAGAGCTTGATTTAGTGGAAAGAGAGGGGAATGGTTGCTGGTTCCATTTCCTGATGGATGGAGGGAAGATGAAGGTTCGGTTGGGGAGGTTTTGCCTCACCTCCAGCTTCTGCTGTTGTGGGGGGAGATGAGTTTCCTCCTGATCTCATTACTCCTACTGGCATGAGCAGCTTTTGACTTGGCCAAAAGTCAGATTTTGCACTTTGTCCTTGAAGTGAAGCTCTTCCAGTTGTTTGTTTGTTTCTTCCATGAGACTCCCTGTCGTCGTGTAGAGCCTCAATTTATACACATTTCCTGGGATAAAAGGACACAGGACTGATCTTAAATTGACATCTCCTGTTTTTAACTTGCTGCAGAGAGGTTTTACTGGTAAAGCAATTCTACCCTGCCAAAGCTACAGAAGCACACACAGCCTTGAGTGGTGTTGAATGCAGCCATGGCCTTCTTGGGAGCTGCCCAGCCTCTGCAATGCAAACACTGCAGTGTTTCACCCAAAGTTGCCTACATCCCAGCTTTCAGGGTCCTTAATGGTGAAGAAGAGGGGAAAAGCAGAAAGAAACTGGGCTGGGGGAGCTTGCAGTGCATCATTTCATAACATCCACAGCCTCAGTCCCTCCAGCTTTGCCTTTGTTCTCTGAACTGCAAGGGGCTGTGTTTAGAAAACAAATGCATGTGCCAGCTATGAAAAGTTACCCTTCTAACATTATGCTTCAAGTGTTTGCTTTCCCTTTTGTTTAAAATAATAATAATAATAATTCCTCAGGGGCATCCAGGAAGGGAGTTTGGTCCAACTTCCTTCATTCCTCTGCAAACCCTCTCTTAATAGTGGTGCTTTGCTTGAAAAAACAGCATGTGAGCAGCTATTGTGAGTTAACTGATGGTTACTTATTAAGTGTCACTGCTGGGAAAGCTGTTCAGATATTATATTTTTCTTATCACAAGTGGAAAGAACGTAGGGTCTGCGTTTCCTGAATGTTGGACAGAAATGTTGATGCCTGCTGCTTATTGTCAGCAAATTGGCTTGAGAGCTGTGCCTGCTGTTTTAGTGCAGAACAGTGGTGGTTGGGTAAGGAGGTAACAAGACAAATGGTGTGCATTGATTGCACACCCCTTTGCAGTGTCCAAAGCACTGCTGTGCACTGCAGCTCAGGTCTCTGGGACCAATGTCTGTGCTCTGGGATGTGGAATGAGCAGCAGCTGCTGCAGGGCATCGTGTCTGTCAGGTTTTAGTGAATGCAGCATTCACTTGTACTGATGCGTGTTCCTTCTGTGGCCCTTGGTGAGACACTGGAAGGTGTTTTATCGGAACCAGAAGTGTTCATTGTGGCTGATAGGAGAATTTATTACTGTGACTTTTCTAACATTTGTCTGGAAGCGCAATTTCATGCGGAGAGGAATAAAGCAGAGTGACCCTGAGTAGCAATCGACCTCATTCTTGCATGGTGCTCAGTGAAGGCTGCATGCCCAGGCTTGGGGCAGCTGGGAGAGAGCTCTGCAGGAGGCTGAATGGCAAAGCAGGAAGAAATTATCTGCTCGGGAACAAGTTCATTAGTAGATCCTTGGGTGGATGCAGCCAGGTAGATCCACTGTGTGGAGCTGGTTGGATTCTGTGCTGTGAAGCATCTTCTGTGGTGTCCTGTGGTTTAGCACCCGTGGGTTGAGCTGTGTTCCAACCTGTGCCTTTCTCTCCACAGAGGCTGGCTGGCCTAGAGGTGGAGGGCTGCAATGGACAGCAGGAGCCTGATGGGACACGGTGCCAGCTGGGAGCGCAGTGAGCAGTGCCTTCCTGCAGCCATCCTGTCCTTGTGAGCACTCAGTGTCTGCCATGGCACTGCAGAAAACTTCCTGAGAAGATTTTTTCAGCTGCTTTTAACGTGTGTGTGCTTGTGTGTGTGAGCAGCAGGACATGTGAGTGAGCTTGTCCCCATGCTTTGAGGCCTCTGGGCCTCTCCCTGCTTGCTGAAGCAAGGTTTCTTTGGAAGATGTTCTCATCAGACCCAGTTCCCAGGTTTTATTCAATCTTTATCATCTCTGAGCTCAAACACAGTTACTCAGTGCAATTTAACAAGCAGAAGCACTCCAGGTATCGCTTGGCTTCTATGGCTGTTGCTTTGAATCCCCCCAGATCTGAGCCTCTTGCTTTACTTTGGGAAGGGTTTTGCATGTGCTGTGGCAAAAGGCACTTACAGGATTGTCCAGTCCTACAAGATGACCCACTGCAGGGGACAAGGACATGGATGTGTTCATTGCCATCTGGGAACAGCCAAGCTGCTTTTGGGCTCAAACCCTGCTTTGGTTGTCCACTGCATGCCTCACCCTGTTCTCTTTTCTCCTGGGCTTTGTGGATGCTTTTCTCTTGCAGCAAAAATTCCTCAATCTGCATTGCACAGCACTGTTTTCTTCCTGCATTCCATGCTTACTGTCCTGTTCCCTTTACTTTAGCCAAAACCTCTCACGATCAGCTTGGATGTTTTGCACTCATACATGCATCAGAGAATTGTGGATTCATTGACCAAAGCTTAGTCATGCTAATTCTGCAGAACATTTCCTATTGCTATACCCATTTTGAGATGTTGTTGTTGTCAGAAGGTAGTGAAGGGCCCGGGCTGTGGGTGAGGTGAGGAGCAGCAGTGGGGCCACGTGTGTGTGTGTGCTGTGTGATGGTTTTTTACTCGTCTCTTGTACCAATTTTTAGACCCACAGCACATTTCTGTACTCACATGTGAGTAAGCTGTGAATGTTGCTGATGTAATGCTGCCTTTTGTGGAGCTGAAGCTGTTGAAGTATTTAGGGCACAGGTGGAGCACTCCTTCAGTGCTGGCTGCCTGTTATTGGGTTGCCCTGCCAAGAGGTGGGGTGATGACACTCCGAGTTTTCACTTTTCTCTTACGAGTTATTTGCCAAACTCCATTTTCTCCCACTCCTAATGTCCCCCTTGAAATTAGGGCAAAACTGTCAGGTTTGCAGCCCTGCGATTAGGTGAAGAAATGGGCATTTGGGGTTGAGCAGGATGCTGTTACCGACCTGCTCCGTCCAACGACTCCAACATCTGTGATCATGGGACCCAGGCTGTGTGTGTTAAGTGTGTAAATCAGTGCCCACCCGCAGATACCTGAGCCCCACACACTCTGCCTGTGCTCAGTGGGCTGAGGCTTACCTGGGGATTTGTGTTGTAAACACTCCCACAGTTTTTATTCTCTCAAGCTGAGATGAGAGAAGCCCCAAACGCTTTAGGATGTACAGTCTGCAAAAGTTTTATGTTGATCTTAAGCAGTTATGCTCCAGAGGGATGAAATTCAGGGGGTAAAAAACCAGAGTTTTATTGGTTTTACTCCTTAGGCTGTTCCCACTGAGCAGTTAGAAATAAGCCAGGGGTGGGAGGAGAAAGGAAAGGAGAAACAAAAAGTTGAAGGAAGAGTTCTATAAGCTGCATAGCACAGCAGTGATCCTCCAATGCACAAACATGCTGGGGTGGGCTGGCTGCAAACCTGCAGCATCAGAACCACCAGCAGATGCCTACTGTGAGCTGTTCACGCACAATGTGGTGTAATAACTGGTGGTGAGGAGTTAGGTGTATGTGTATGGTTAAGGAGCTAATGGCTGTAAAGAGGCACAGCCATTTTTTCCTGCCAGAATTCATGAATGTAGCTGATGAGTGTCGGTAGTCATCAGTTTTTAATTGCTGCTTAATGTCTGCTCTGCAGTGGTGGCTGGCTGTGGGTTGCTGTGCTCCCCAAGCGATGCTGCAGCAGCTGCATGCTGGTGCTGGGACAGAGCCATCTGCAGCAGCCAGACTGTCCCTCAGCACTTTAAGCCAAAGCACAGCTTCTCCTACTGCATCTTAACTTAATACCTGTGTCTGTAAGGCAGAGCAGTGGCAAATTCCCAGTGCAGGTGAGTGGTAGGGGACAGCGTGGGTGCTGCAGGTCCCAGGTGAGCCTCTGCCCGTGCTGGGTGCCAGGCACTTCCTTGAAACCACCTGACTGCCCTGGCACCGCTCATGCAAACAGCTCAGGATAAATAAGGGTTGCACAACTTACCTGAATTTAGGCTTAAGGGGGGTTTGCACTGCTGGTCATACACAGCTGCGGTGTCGGGCTGTGTTCAAACGCTCCAATAGCTCACCATGGGCTGAATGTCCAGTGGTGGGCTTGCCTGCTTTGTGAGCATTGCACCAGCACCAGATCTTACTCCTGTATCTCCCTGATTTCTATTTCCATCCGCTTTTGATGTCAGAGGTGCTCTGTGCTGGTCTCAGGGTGCTGCTCTGCATTACTGTGTGCTGCTTGCAAACTGCATCCTTGTGCTGTGCGTGGGGAGGGTGATGTTTTGTGTTTCACAGAGTTCTGCTGTGTTACTGCTTTCTAATGGTCTTTTTTTCTAGGTTTTAAAGAGAAAAGCAATGTATGCAGAGTTGTTGTGTTGTGTACCCTTTGCACTTACGCACAATTATCCCGTGAGCATTTATTTACAATACAGAGGTTTTAAAAATAAAATCTTGTTTCCTCTCCTTTTCTGTGACAGTTTGCTATAACTGCGTCACCAAACCAGCACACAGCGGGTGATGCTGAGCTCAGGGAGTGCTTGGGAAGCACTGGGGGTGAAGGTGAGCTTGGGGCAGGGGGCTTAGGAGCAGGAGAGGTGGGTGCCATCCTCTTGCCTAAGTAATCCATGTTGAAAAGGATGATGTTGGAGGAAGCAGAATTCACATTTTCAGATTTCTTGAGGTGTTACGTTAAGAGCAAATCTCTTTTTCTAGAAAAAAACATCTAGAAGAGCAATGGGTGAAATCACTTTGGAGATCCCTGTGCTGATTGAGATGTTGGATAACTCCAGTTCTTCCTTCTGCTCTTCTCCAAGAGCAGAGATCTGCTGGATTTGCACGTGGTTTAGAGGGAAGCTCTACCTCTGGCACTTTTATTTCTGATGACGTTAATAGCATTCATTCTCTTGCAGTCCCACTTCTGTCTTGCAGTGACACCCTGGATGACATGAAGGAATATCCTTTTCTTTCTGCTTACCCAGCTGTGAGGTGGGGACAGATGAGAGGCACTGCATGGCCCTGTGGGTGCAGCTGTGTCCCGATGCCTTCAGCACACACAGGTGGGCTTGTCCTGTGTCAGCTGGAGAGAATAAACCAGGAGAGCCCATGTTTGGGTTTGGGATTAACTGGGTTTCTTGTAAATAGTCAGCAGAGGTCACTGCCTGCTGGGAGTGACTAAACAAGGCCCAGCTTGCTGTGGTTTAGAGAACCAAATCTGCTCTTTTGCATTTTGGCTGGGGCTCAGGCAGGCTTTGGGAAGGTAATGTTTCCCTCTGGGGCTGAGGATGTGAGATGTTGGGTTTTTGTGGGTTTTTTTTGTTTGTTTTTTGCCAAAAGAAATCTTTGCTCCAGCAGAACCAGCCGTGAGAAATGCAACCCGGGGCGAAAAGGGCACTGTTGAATTTGTGATATCAATTGAAGCTGAAGTGAAAATGCACAAAGTGCAAAAGGAGCAAATGGTTGTGGCCTCTGCCAACGCTGTTGGTGGAAAACAGTAGGAATTGTGTGCAGCATCAGTGGAGGGGCTGAGCCCAGAGTGCTGCTGAGCTGAGTGAGGAAACCCTGTGGGCATTGCCATAAAGCTTTCAGGTAAGAACTGCAGTGCCCAGAGGGATGCCATCATCTTGAGGACACGCATGGGCATTGTGCAGGGACCAGCTCTGGATGCCTGCACCCCCAGACTGTTTCGACTGGCAGCTTTGCACACAAAGCAAACAATTTCAACATCTGCTTGGGTCGCATTCAATTTTCTAGCGTTTTGTTTCGCAGGTTGGGTAAACATCTTCTTTCTTGCTAGGAGGAGTTAATCATTGATAGGCAAATTGGCACGGGTCTGGTCCCTGCAGAGCATGCAGCTGGCTATGTGCAGCCATTTCTGAGCGTGTGGGTGGATGAGAACCCCTCCTTCAGCACAGCAGGGCTGTGTCAGTGCCTTTGGATGCACCCATCGCTGCCTGCAGAGCCCAGACTGGTGCCGTCCTCTGCAGAGCACAGGTAAAGTGAGCTGAGCTCCAGGAGTGGGATTTTGGGGTGTTCTTGCAGCTCGACTGAGCTAAGGGAAAAGTAAAATAAATTGAATTAAACCAAGAGCTGTAATAGGAAGTGAAGGAAAGCCAGAACAATGAATCAGCAGCAAGAAGAGCTCAGCTAGGGCAGTGGAAAAAGGGAGGAGTAACTTTTATTAGGATGTGCTTAGCTTTCCTTTCTTTCAGTAAGCAATTTCTCATCAGTCACATCTAGGCAAAGCACCAAGGTGGGCTGTATTGCTTCCAGGAGGAAGGTGGGCACTCGGAGTGTGTGTAACCCTGGGAGGGTTTGGGCTCCCAAGGGATGATCCTGGAGAGCTGCAAGTCAGACAGTGCTCTGATCCTTAGAGCAGCCAAATATGCAAACTGAAGCTCAAACGTGCCAAGAAAAGACCAGTGAAGGAAAGCCTACAGGAACAGCTTAGAATCTGCAATCAGCCATGGTGACTCCAAGAGTAAACTCAACGCTTTTCTCCCCTCCCCCACTATTTTTGAAGATATTTGGCCTACAAAAAGAATGCTGTGACTTCTGCAACGTGGTCAGGATGATGATGGTGCCAGCTCTGGTGTCAGTGGGAGCAAGGGGCCGTGCTGCCGTCCTGGTGCTGCTTCTCACTGCTGCCCTGGTGGTGGGCACCCAGGGTAAGCAAAGATGAAGTGAGCTGAGCAGGGGAAACTGCTTCCTGAGGTTCACAAAACCTTGATCCTATTTCCCTCTTTGCCTTTGCGTTTGAAGAGACCTGTGAATCTGATCGCAACCGTCTTCCTTTGCCTTTTTGCTTTCTGTGCAGAATGGCTGTAAAATTATGCTGGGAAACAAAGGTGCCCTGACTTGTATGCTACTTGAGGACAAGGAAGCTGTTGGTCTAGGATGTGTTACCGTCCTTAGTGCTGGATGAGGTGTGAGGAGTGAAGAGTGATTCATGGAGTGATGCTCATCCCCATTGCAGTCTGCCCTTCTCCCCTTTGCTTCCCTCTTCAATGAGTTTTATGGACTGGACTTTCAGAGCAGGCCACTGTCAAATTTGCAGTTTGCCCAGCGTTTTCCTGATGGTGTTTCTGTTGGCAGGTGCTTGCGGTGCTCCGCCACGGTTCTCATTTGCAGAACTGAAGGAGGACTACCTGCACAACAGGACGTTTTCCACCTCTGAAGTGGTGGAATACAGATGTCGGCCAGGCTACCTGAGGAATTACAGAGCCCGGAACACTTACATCTGTGAAAAGAACAGCTGGAAAGGATCAAACAACTTCTGCTTACGTGAGTACATTTGGGGTTGGCTTCTGATTTTGGGCGAATCCATTGGCTCGTTGGGCAGCATTCTGGTGGTGGGGAGGTGGTGGCAGTGGGATCTGTCTGGATGTTGCTTGCCCTTTACCACTGACTCTGGCTGTGCTCAGAAGTGCGTTTTTCTCTCAGGTGCTTGTGAGCACTTAGTTCAATAACAGTATTTCAGGCTTTCAGTAGGAGAATCCTTTGGTCTTGACAGCAACACGGGTCACGTCACAAGTTAGAGTGGAAGGGGAAATCCAGAGAGCTGCTGTCCATCTGCTTGCTCAGTATTGGAGAGGTCTTCTGCTCTCCTGCTGGGTGTTCCTGATTCTCCATGAACCTGCAGAACTAACTCTGGTCCTGTTGTCCCCCAGCAAAGCCCTGCAGTTACCCTGGAGAGCCAACCAATGGCAGGCTTGTGGAAGTACAGCAGTTCACCTTTGGGTCCACAGCAAACTACAGCTGTGACACTGGGTAAGCTGGGAGTACTTGGGGTCCTGCAGGTCCTTGTGACCCTGAGGGGATGTCCAGCCCAATTTGCTGTGAAACAGTGACTACGGAGCCAATGCACTGGCTCTGCAAATCAGATACAAGCTAAAAGGCCTTTATATTCCCTGGTGGGTTTTCTGAAGACCTTTTGTTCTAGGTTAAAGCCTGTTCTATCAGAAACCTTATGCTGGTGTAGGTAATGGCAGACTGTAATCAAAGTACTTTTTAACTTCTCTTTTGAAAGCTTGAAGAAGGAGTTTTCTTCCTTTCATGCTTTGAAATGGTTCTTAGGATTGTGGAATGCCATAGGTTGGAAGGGACCTTAAAGATCACCTAGTTCTTGCCAAGCTCCAGTTCACTCAGGGCCCTGCTAAACCATCCCCAGTATTTTAATATATTTTTGAAGGAAGCACTGCACTTCTGAAGTCGGAGCTTATGGTTACAGTTAAGTTATAGTTAATTACAGTTAGCTATAATTAACAGGTTGTCACAGTTATAGTTTCACTGCAGTTGCTATCAACCATTCCACTTGTTTGGTTAAGTTGGGCAAATTCCTGATCGGCTTTAATTCCAAGGAAGCCAAAGGTGGTGTTCTAAATGAAATTAAAAAAAAAAACCTGAATTGCACTTGACAAATAATTCCCTCCACTCTGTTCCACACAGGTACAGACTGGTTGGAAATTCCCAGATTAGGTGTGTGATTAAAAATGGGCATGTTACTTGGGATGGAAATCCTCCTATCTGTGAACGTAAGTAGAGTCCTGCTGAGTGGGACTGGGGATGGATGAAGATAGAGAAGGCTTTTGGTCGTTCACTGCATGTTGGAAATCTCTAAAAACACTTTTCTTGGTGCTTTCCTTCCATGCATGGAAGCACTCCCTGGCAGTAAGGCAGCTGCACATCACAGGGATGTGCCCCCAAACCACCCAGTCGTGAGGCAGAGCTGCCCTGAGACCTGCCTCTAATTTCTGGCACCTGGGCCATTTGTGTCTCAACTTCAAACCACACGTTTAATTAACATGAATTTTTCAACTTTTTTTTTTAGCAATTCCATGTTTGCCCCCTCCAAAAATAGCGAATGGAGATCACAACAGAGGTGACGTCGCGCTCTTCACATACGGAGCTTCTGTCACCTACCACTGCCACACTGACAGCAGGGGGAGGAAGCAGTTCTCCATGGTGGGGGATGCCTCTATTTTCTGTACAACCAATGACAACGTGAATGGTGTCTGGAACAAGCCAGCCCCGGAGTGCAAAGGTGAGTGGCAGTCTGCCCATAGGGGATCTGAGAAGGGGTATTCATCTGAGAATGGAAGAAACAGGAGGCTTGCCAAGATTCAGAAGCTTGCTGTGGTACCTGCTGTCCTTCCTTTGTTCTCATTCTTAATAAAGTGGGGGGAAAAAAAAAAGCAATAAGAAAAAAGATGTTGGACAAAGACTTGAAAAATGCTGCTACCTTGCCATGCCCATTTTCATCCTGTTTGATGAATGTGTGCTCCAAGAATCATGGATTCATTAGGTAGGAGGGAGCTTTAAAGGTCCCCCAGTTGCAGCCCCCCCCTATGTTAGCAGTTGCCAACAGCAGATCAGGCTGCCCGTGCCCCACTCACCCTGACTGCTCCAACAGCTCCAATGCTTTTAATCATCCCCCACTGACCCAGCACTCATCACCTGAGCTCTGTTGCTTCCCCCACGCAGTGGTGAGCTGCAGGGAGCCCCAGGTGGAGCACGGCAGGCTGCAGAGCAGGTACAGAGCTGAGTACGCCTATGGTGACACCGTCATCTTCGACTGTGAATTCCGTTACGTGCTGCTGGGCAGTGACACAGCCATGTGCCAGGAGGATGGCAGCTGGGATCCACCACTACCGCAATGCCAGCGCAGTGAGTGCCCACAGGGACACAATCCAGGCCGTGGCTGTGGGGGTGGTGGGCTGTATTCTGTTGTTTTTGCCTCTTGCACCATGGTGGCTTGCACTTTTGTTTCCCAACAGCTTGCTGGTGATGATGCAGGCATGGGACTTTATGACTTTGGGCCTCTTAGCTAAAGTCTTGTTCCAAGACCCAAACTTGATGAGTTTCTTGCTAGAACTCAGAGGGACTAAACTGACCTCCCTATACTCAATACTTTTAAAGGTCGTTGGTAGATTAGGGCACAGAGTATTTGCTTTGTTGGAAATTGCACGTCATTGCCACAAGTGAGTGTAAATCACCATACGTTGTAATAACAGGTACTGCATTTCATTTTACTTCCATTGCATTCACTCTCAGTAGCACTGAACTCAGACAATTGCCTTAAGTGAACCTCAGGAAGAATCACACGAGCCCACGTTTTACCCCAGATCCTTTCATGTTGTGTCCTGTGCCCCACTGCTTTCTCATTGGCAATGTCACAGAGTGTTGATTTCACCCCTAGGCAGCTGTGATGACCCTCCTGACGTGCAGAATGCTGTTAAAGCAAGACTTGCAGGCAATTTATTTCCCATTGAGACTGTCATCACTTATGAGTGCCAGACGGGCTATGAGTTCAGCCCTGGAGTGGTGATGCAAAACATCAGTTGTCTGCCAGACTACACATGGACTGAAACTCCACCGCCCTGTGAAAGTAAGTGCCCGTTCCTTCAGCTTAAGTATCCTTGTGTTTGGGCAAAGCTCTTCCCGATTAAAGGATCTGTGTGCAGTCTACCTTATCTACCAGATGTGCTTTCTGCTCCTTTGAACCCATGGAAAAAATAGTGTGCCATCACTAAGATGCCATGGTGCTGCCAGTGCCCATTGGAGAGGGGAATGTACATCCAGGAAAGCCCCGTGAGTCCAATGGTGCCCATCAGCATTGTTGGTGGGATGCAATGACTTCATATGTACGCCCAGAAAATAAAACTGCCTTTAGGAGTGTCCAGAAACGGCCATTCATTCTCCTCCTGCCTCAAATGAACCTGCTGTCATTGAGGTACTTATGCCATGATTTCACACTTGCTGCTGTTTGGTGTTTCTCAGGAATTAGTTGCCCGAATCCAGCTACCAAGAGTGGAATGCACATAAGCTCCTGGGGCAAAAAAGACACGTATGTGTTGGGAGACAGAGTCCAAATTATCTGCGACCCTGGCTATGTTTTCAAGGATAGTGATGATTATGTTGTGCTTCAGTGTACAAATGATGGCACATGGAACCGGGAAGCACCAGAGTGCATTCCAGGTAGGAGAGCTGCTGCATCACCTTGACCTGTTGATTGCTTATTTGTGACTTTGGCAGAGGTTTTGGTCACTCCGTACAGGACAGCTGTCTGCTACCATCAGTAGAAATCTACCTGTGGCCTTGCGTAGCTGCCTTCTCTGTGGAAATCTTCTTCATGGGGTTCTTTCTAAAAATTCATGAAATCCTTCTATATTTTCTCTTGCTCCTAGAACCTCATTGCCCAGAGCCTATCATTGACCATGGAAGAGAGGTTTATAAAAGCAAAAATGATTACACAGTTGGGACTCAAGTAAGGATAGAGTGTGATGAAGGCTACGTGATCAGTATCCAAGAATCGATCACGTGCCAGGCTGATGGGAACTGGTTTCCCAAGTTACCCTACTGCCAGCAAGGTATGTGCAAGGCAGGAGCTGTGATCAGCTCTGGGGCAGGGTGGGCAGCCTTCCTCTAGCATCACCTCTGAGATGCAGGTGAGCGCTGGCTGTGGGGCTGGAGGTGTCTTCCCCAGCAGATGCCAGGCAGGAGCTGAGCACGGGCTCCAAGTCCATGCTGAGTTCTTACCCCAATATGATAATTGTGTGTTTCTTTTTTTTTTCCTTCTTAATCTTTATTTCATAGCCTGCGGCCCTCCCCCACAAACCACCCATGGGCTGGACGTCAACCCAACATCATCATTCTTCCCCTATGGCTACAGAATGGAATACAGTTGTGCTGCGGGGCTGTCCCTCATTGGGGATGAATCCATCTACTGCACCTCTGAAGATGGAGTGAACATGGAATGGAGTGGCCCTGCCCCAGAGTGCAGGGGTGAGTCTATAGGGTCACCCCAAAACTGGGGCATCAGGAGGAGCCCCTCATTCATTCCCCCCACTCGCTTTCTGTCCCAGGATATGAGCATCCCTGTACTACAGCCCTCTGCTCTCTCCCCAGTGGTTCGCTGCCCCAAGCCCGTGGTTGAGAATGGAGAGATGGTTACACCACAGCACACGTTCCCCTATGGGACATCTGTGAGCTTCTACTGCAAGAAAGGCTTTACACTGCATGGCAGTGCTGAGAGCCGCTGCGTGGCTGATGGCAGCTGGCAGCCAGCCCTACCCAAATGCCAGCCAGGTGGGTCCAGCCCCACACACTGAGGCTGGCAGGGCACTGTCTCCTCCTGTTACATTATAATGCTGTGTATTTGCCTTCTAGTCAAGTGTCGTGCACCAAAGAACAAGGAGAACCTACAGATTTTCTCTGACAGGGAAGAGTACGAGTTTAATGAAACCCTGTACTTCTCCTGCAAGCAGAGCAACAATCCAGCAGAGATGTCGTTAACCACCTGCTCTGCTGGTGGCTCTTGGATGCCACCACCCAACTGTGTGAGTTCCACTGCTTCGTGTTTTGCCCCGTTTATAGCTTGGAACAGCACCAGTCTGCCTTCATGAACGTGTTTTGCTACGATGGGGCTGGCACAGCTGTGGGTCTGCGCAGCCCGTGGGTCCCCGTGGCAGTGGCTCATGCCCTCTGTCTTTGTCTTGGCTCTTTTAAAGAAAACACTTCATGCGTGCAAGAAGATTCGTCAAATTCAGGAAACTTTTGAGTGCGGAATTCCTCTGGCAGAACTGAGAACTTTGCTGGAAGTACAGAAACTCTACCTGGAGATCCAGAAGCTGGAGAAGGATCTGGGAGCCAGAGGAGGCCGCTCATGGCTGTGACTGGTATTGTGGTGGGAAGAAACGGAGTCGGTGAAGAGAACAGATTCCTGTCATAGGAGGAATCAGAGTCTTTTGTCTCGTTCTGGTAGAGCTCGCTGCCTTAGGTTTGTGCGTCACTTTATACCTTTTAAAGCTTTACATTTAGGTCTGTTGTCCTGAGAGGTGTGCGGTCTGGAAGGAATGGAACTGAGAGAGAGAATTGTCCGAGTCACACACGTGTATGGAGAGCCACCACTCACCCTCTCCATCTGCAGCCCCTTTCAGCCCATCACTGCATGCCAACAAGCATTAACAGCCTAACTACCCACAGCCTCCAGAGCTACTTGGTGCAATGGAGAAATCCTCCAGGCAAAACTAAACGCCAGCTTTTCCTGCCAAGTAGGACAGTTCTGATCTGGCCTCCGTGTGCCCACTGCACAAATTGCAGCCCATGGAAATAAAATTGGAAGGAAAGAAGTGGCTGAATTATTTCTGCGACATCCAGCGAAGGGGAAGTGCTCTGCTAACTCGTATCGTGTGACCAGACCGCTGTTCCTTCACTAGATTATAATAAAGCTGCAGTTCTAATGACTGCTGTGCCTTGTTTGCAATAATTCTGCCCTGTCTGTGGTATAGAGCAATATACTCAGGTGGAAAGGCAAAGGGGACACGCAGCCCTGTTCCCTGCACTGACTGTGGCTCTTTCTGCTCCAGAAAGAAGGCAGAGCAGCTCTGACCATGTAACAGCTTCACTCCCCACCATCCTCACACAGTGCAGCAGGAATGCACTGCTGCCGTCAGCACGGCCCGCCTGCTGTCCCCCACTTCCTCCACCTGCTTCCCCTTCCCCTGAGACTTTTGCAGTCCTGTGGCACGGCTGCTGCTCGCCATGCAGCTGCTCCTGCACTGGATGGGGCCATTGCTGGTACTGCTGGTGCTGCAGCCAGCGGGGAGCCTGGGTGAGTGAGTGCCACCTCCTTCCCTTCCTGCTATGGCTCAGCTTTGCTTTTCGATCCAACATGGGATAACCAGGCTAGGGATGCACTCCTCTGCTGGACGTGCTGCTAACCTCTTGCTGATGCCCTTCTGGAGCTCGGTGCTTACTGCTCATGGCACATTTTTCCTCTTTGGTTGCACCTGTAGATGCTTGCAAAGCGACACCCCAAATGCTTTCCAGTAATCTTACACTGCATGAGGGGCTGCAAGTTCATCCTTGTGCTACCCAGGGCCAGGTCCTTGTGCAGAGATTTGCTGAGCCTGGCCAGGGCTTTGCTGCACCACTGCCCTGGGTTCTGCTGATCAATGCAGTAGCAAAGAATCATTCCCCTGGCTGGAGCATGTCCTGCAGCTTGGAGGCTCGAGATGAGGATGGTGGCTAGATGGGGAAAATCAATTGGACAGGTGATAGCTTGATTGTTTAATTAAAAGGGACATAATTTGCAGTTTGAGTGGTGTTGGTGGTGTGTAATCACAGGATGGTGATGGCTGTCACGCGTCCTGTGGGCTGACTGCATGACAAGCAGTGATTTGCTCTGTAGTGACCCCCAGAAGAGGAATAACTCCCTATTTCTGCTGCAGCTGATGTTGCCTCTAACAGCAGGTGTTCCTCTGATGCACAGAGCAAGCAATGCAATGAAGGGTCAGAACCAGCCATGGGTTGTACCTGTAGAATCCTGCTGCTGATGGCTCCTCGAGCATGCTGTTAACCCCCAATCTCCCCATCCCAACTGCTGTGCTTGCTAAACCAACTCATTTATCAGAGGCTCTGCCGATAGGAGCCCTCCTGCAAACTCCCATTTGTTTGCTGCTGCAGAGGTGCAGTGCCCGGTCCCAACGATCCCTCATGGGTGGCTGAATCCTGCAGAGAAGAACCTCAGTGCTGGGAGCACAGCCACGCTTGAATGTGAGGCTGGCTACGTCCCTGTGGGCAGCAGCAGCGTGAGGTGTCTGAGCAGTGGCAGATTGCAGCCACGGACACCAGCATGCATCCGAGGTATGCACTGTCTTTCTTCTTGGTCTTTTCCCCATGCATTCACGTGGGTTTATTTGCTGAAAAGTGCATCAAAGTGGGCTGGGACCCCAGAGGCAAAGCTCAGCCCCATCCTTGGTTGTGGGGTAGAGCTGGTGGCTCTGTGTGCTGCTCCCCAGGTCGTTGTCCTTCCCCTCCTGCTGTTGACTACGCCGACCGCAGACCTCCATATGAGTTCCTGGTGGGTTCCACCATCACCTACTTCTGCAGACATGGGTACACGTTGATCCCCGGCGTGTCTCCAACAACAACTTGTCTCAAAAATTTCACCTGGTCTGCGATCCCAGCGCTTTGCCAGAGTGAGTGTTCCCTTCTCTTTGCCTCGCCAACAAAACCATCGGTTTAACGAGGTGGAAATAGCATAGTTTTCAGTCTTTCAGTGGCGCTGTGCTGCGAGGGCTTTGTTTAGCAGTGTTTGGGTTCTCAGTAATAATTTTGCTGTTCTAAGTGTGGCATGGAGGAAAAGAAACAACGGAAACTCACGCTAATTATTTAGCTGCACCAACAACAGCAGTGTGTTGTCCCACTGGTGCCATCTACAGCCAACCACGAGGTTCTGTCTACAAAAGGAAATAGTGGTATCACATAATCACAGTGATTACAGCAATGCCTGGCTGGTTTGCAGTGCTAACAAGCACTGGAAACAGGCTGGCCCGATCCATGGAGCTTTCTGATGGCTCTGTCCCTCAGTGGTGCAGTGCCCAAGCCCAGCCATCATCAACGGGAGGGAGACGAGTGCAAAGCAAGAGAAGTACAGCGTTGGGCAGCAGGTGGAGTTCCAATGCAACCCAGGCTACGTGCTGTGGGGCAGCCAGAGGACTCAATGCTGGTCAGATGGGACGTGGAAACCCCCGGTGCCGTACTGCGATAAAGGTGAGCCCAAATAACACTTCCTTGGTGGGAGCTGGGAGTTGCATCTCTCTACAGCATGTGGGAGCAGCAGAGAGAAAATCTTATCACCTTTGGCATCTCATCTGTTTTCTCTCACAGTCTGTACCCCCCCTCCGCTGATCACCAACGGGCAGCACACTGGCTTGAGAACAGAACTTTTTCCCTACGGTACAGAGGTGAAATACAGCTGTGCTTCAGGGCTGTCCCTCATTGGGGATGAGTCCATCTATTGCACCTCTGAAGATGGGGTGAACCTGACATGGAGCGGCCCTGCCCCGGAGTGCAGGGGTGAGTCACAGCAAAGCCAGAGCACCAGGAGGAGCCCCTCATCCCCCCCGACCCTCTGTGTGTCCCAAGGGATGAGGCTTCCCCCTAAATCCCCTCTACTCTCTCCCCAGTGGTTCGCTGCCCCAGGCCCGTGGTTGCCCAGGGGAGGATGGATCTGTCATGGCACACGTTCCCCTATGGGACGTCCGTGCGCTTCTCCTGCAATGAGGGCTTTGTGCTGCACGGCGATGCCAAGAGTCGCTGCACGGCTGATGGCAGCTGGCAGCCAGCCCTGCCCAAATGCCAGCCAGGTGGGTCTGACTTTAACAATCGATTTCTCATTTCTACAGATCGAAAACCACCTGCACCGACTCATCTCCCACAATTTCAGGCTCGGTTTTCTACCCACACAGTCACATTCCCCTTGCTGAGCTGCTTTCTGCTGTGTGTTTGCTTTCAGTTCTGTGTCCCAAACCACGAGTTGCCAATGGAAAGCTGACAAGCACTGATCAGACGTGGTACCCAATAAACACCACAGTCACATTTGTGTGCCACGAGGGATACCATCACTTCTCAGGTGATGGAGAAGCCTCTTGGACAGCCACGTGCTTGGCTGATGGCAACTGGACACCACTGCCCAAGTGTGTAAGTACTGTGGTGTGGCTGTTTCTGGATGAATGCTGCCTGATGTCTGCTATGAAAAGTAACCCTGACCCTCTTAAAAAGCCTTTCTTTCATTGCTGTGGTGGGGGATGCAGCTGTGTTCAGCTAATGCACAGCAAACTGGGGAGGGGTGCAGCCTCAAAGCTGCAGTGTGGGTCCCCCACCTGCAGCAGTTCAATCACACATGGCTTTCTCTGCTTTTGGCATTGCTTTGCTTAACAGAAGAAGGAAGGTGATGCTGACGTGTGTGGAGAGGTTGCTTATATTCAGAGTGTCGTCTCTGATTGCCACGTGCCTACAGAAGATGTGAAAACTCTGCTGGAAATACAAAAACTCTTCCTGGAGATTCAAAAACTGAAAGTGGAATTGCAAGGACTGAGCAAGGAGGTCCTGGAGCACATCCTGCATTAAGCAGCCTTCCCTGCGGGCACAGTCCATATAGTCAGAGTTCCTTTAAGAAGCCTCCTAGGAACTGTATGGTTTGTGCTTCTATAGGGCCAGATCACTTCTGCCATGCTACTTGCCAGAGCACAGAGGGGTTTTTGTTCTAACCCTCAGATAGGACATGCTTGATTCACTGTGTGCCATTTTCTGCTTTAGGAAGCAAAGCAAGAAGTTCGGTTGAGCTTCTCTGTATAATTCGTGCTAAGCCAGAAGTGGGGTTGAAGTCTGTGAAAGCAAACTCCTGGCAGAGGTGATTGCCCAGCACCAGGCTACCAGTGTTTGCATACCTCGCCTATCTAGACATAGCAATGGAGTGAGCATTGAGCTGCACCGCTTCCTACTAACCTGTGTCACGATCTTATGGTTTCTGTTCATCTAGTTATGGGCAGCGACAGGGCAGTAACAAAACCAAGCTCTAAAGCCCACTTGCTTATCCCTGGATTTAAGAGGTAACAGGATTCTGTACTTGAGAGATGCCAGCGTTGGTCTCATCTTCCACATCCCTGTGTCTGCAAGCAAATGCTAAGAATAGAGGGTGCAGGCTTAAGTACAGCGAATCAGATAGCAATGATTTCTCTTATTATTCAATAAACAATAATCCCTTCATGCATCTTTGCAATGGAAGAATCAGGAGCTCCATTCAGGAGCTCAGTAGAACAGATGTATGACTGCAGATGTCTTCTGGTCTGTCACATTGGCTGCAGATGAAGCAGTGCTTGTTGAGGGCAGGCAGATGTGGCCAAGAGCAGAGCCCTGGCAGTGAGGGGGGGGAAATGGGGCAGGAATGCAATGAACACATGGCCCTGGGCTGTGCTGTGCTTCTGCCATCATCCCTGGTACGATGCCCAGGGGGAGTGGTGACATCTCATAGGATGCAAGAGATGCTTTGCTATTGCATCCCATGCTTCACCAAATGGATGAAGGGTTGCAGTAATGGGGAGCAGAGCTGGTTAGCTGTCCTTGTGCCACATGGAAACCCATGCTGTGGCCACCTGGTGCCACACTGGGCTGCAGCCAGAGGCAGCATATCTCCCCAAGCAGTGCTGAAAGCACCAATAAGATCAGGGTGTTCTGCACTGTGTGTTCCTATCGATGTATGTGTGACCTAAACTAAAGTCATGTTTATTTAAGTGCAGATGGAGCTGCTCACATCCCTCTCTAATTACCAATGAGTCAAGCAGCCAGGAAAAAATTAACAGACAAAAAAGATAATTCTTTTATTTTAGTTTCAGTAACTCTGCTCATGGAAAAGCTGTGCTGTTACTGCCAGCAGATGGCTGAGCAGGGGCCTGGGGCTTAAAGCTTTCTGTCCTGGCAGCATCTGGTTGTGGTAGATCTGTGCTCTGCCAATGTGTCAATAAAAGGGTTGAGGATTCCCCTATTCCTGTGTGGGCTGGGAGGACATGGAGGCTTTGCCCAGGTCCCTGACTGCTCCCCATGTCCCTGCAGAAGGGCTGAGCTCTGTGTGAGTTATGGGAGGGTTTCCACTGTTCCACCAATTTGGCTGCATCTGTGATGCTGCATCCCCTCCCAGCTTTCCAAAGCGGCTGCTGGCAGCCAGCAGCACTCTGCAGAGCGGCAGGAACTGCTGCGATGGGGTCTGGAGAAGGAGGGAAGCACCCAGACACCTCGAGCTGCTGGGCTCGTGCTGCAGTGCAGGGATCCATACATCCTGCACTGCTCCTGGCTCTGCTGTGGCTCCTTGGCATGCCGACGGCTCATGGTAAGTACAGCACCGGGATGCATGCTGGGCAGCAATGAGACCTTCCCTGGTCCCCCCATTCTGCTGGGAGACTGGGGATGACAATACCGCCATCCTCAAGGGCTGCAGCTCAGCCTGCTGCCTTTGTTCAGGGAAAGATCCTGAGCTGTCCTCCTGGGGGTGGAGTTCTCACCCTACGAGGTCTTCTTGTACCACAGGTGCCTGTGGGCCCCCACCTCCCATGACCCACTCCCAGCCCTCCGGCGTTGAGCAGCTCAGCAGCTTCCCTGTAGGCTCCAGGGTGACCTACACGTGTCTGCACGGTGCTATCAGGATCCCCGGGGCGTTGGACACGGTGCAGTGCCTGCCTGGCTCATACTGGTCGGAGCTGCGAGATCCCTGTGGATGTAAATACCTCCCTTTTCCTGGCAGAGCTGCCTCTCACTTCAGGCTTCTGCAGTAGCTGCTCTGCACGGTGCATCCTTTGCTGCTGCAGATGGGCACAGAGCTGTTGATGATGGGTGAGTGGAGCTGCAGCTGTGATGCTGCTGTTCCCCATCTAGCAGCTCCTGGCAGCACGGTGTGTGGTGCCAACAGTTTTGTGCATGCAGACAGAGCATTCCAGGCTGCACTTTGCTTATGGATGCATTTAGCACAGCTGCAGCTTGAGAGAGCAGAAGAGAGCAGAAGTAACCTGCAATGAGCACACAGAGCTCTTCAAAGGCTCCATAATGAGCTTTTCTGCACAGGCTCTGCTTTACACGGCTCTCATTGCCAGCTCTCAGATCTGCTCTCCTTGGTTGCCAGTGAGCTGCGCTACCCCGACCTCAGTGCACTTTGCTGCCCTGTCCGAGGTGGATGAGATGATCAATTTCTATCCTGTTGGGTTCACTGTGAGCTACGTCTGCCGCCCTGGTTATGAGAACATCTCAGAAAGCCAACCCACCAGCACCTGCCTTGAGAGCCTGACGTGGTCAGAGGTCCCGGAGTTATGCCAGAGTGAGTACAGCCTCTGCCTGCTGCTGAGCATCCCCATGCTGTGCTGAAACACGTCCCCATGGCCACATGTTTAATGCAGGCTCAGCTGGACGTTCCTCTTTAAGACCTCATACAGGAGTTATTTCATTTATTTGGTAGCGTTCTTTATTTTCTGTTGGCACAAACACATGGGTTTTGATTTTCACATAATGTTTGCAGCTGGACATTAACATATGCATGGGACAAGCGCCAACTTGCAGGGAGGATTTCTAGCATTGAAGACCAAGCATGTTCCCTAATGAAATCCATACAGCATTAAGAAGGATGGTGTGGCAGCTGTAGGTTCCTTACAGCCGAGTGCCCCACAGCCAAAGCACTGCAATGGATGCTCACTCTGCTCTTCTCCCTGCAGGGAAATCCTGCGGTCCCCCAGAGGCCCCACCTGCAGGGAGGATCCTCCAACCCACAGATTTTCTGTTTGGCACATATGTGAACGTGCTCTGCGATGAGGGGTGAGTCCTGAGGCAGCGCTGGTGTTGGATCACAGCTCTGCTGGTGCTCGTGCATGGAGCTGCAGCTCTGGGCTGGGCTGCTCTCTTGCAGCTGTCCCTGCTGCAGTGCTTTGGTGATGAGTGCTTTTCCCTTTTGAATTCCAGCTTTGGGCTGGGAAGGGATGAGGCGTAGCTGGAGTGAGCTGGCTGGGCCCTGGGTTTATGGCAGCCTTTTCCTTTAGGTGTCTTCCCGAGGAAACCTAATTGCTGGAGGGTGAATACCCCAGCAGGACTGTTGTGGGTTCACTTTAAAATGGCAGACCTCAAAACAGATTACCTGCAGTATTTCAACTGAAGGTGTTTGTGCCACAATGAATAAAAGAGGTTATGTTTGAACATTAAAGCTGAGCTAGAAAACAGGAGCAAAACGCTTCCCGCCCATCAGTCTGACTCATGCCCTCTCTCTGCTTCCAATCAGGGCACATATGCAGTGCTAACAGACCTGCAGGCTTGCAAAGTGGAGCTCATTCATATCCAGCTTCTGTTCCTTCCTCCCCAGCAGGAGCTGGCGTTGCCTGCTTGTTCCATCCCTCTGTGCAGCAGCTTCCAGAGCAGCAGAGACTTTTTCCTACAAATATTCCCTTAGGGAGGCCTGGAGGGAAATGACAGCACATCCCACGGTTGGGATACACACACAAGGGTGGAGGGATTATGTTATCCATGGAAGCAACGTTAGCTATTATCCCTGGTATGCAAACGATGACATTTCAGAGCAGCAAGATGTGAGTGCTGCCAGGACAGGAGATCAGCTTCCAGCAGCACGTCCACGAAAGGCAGATTCCCACCTGATCACATCAGCACCAGGAGGAAAACGCTCACAGTTCCAGGGTACTCACACAGGTTTCTTCTATTGGGTGCTTTCATCCAGGTACCAACTCCACGGGAGGAATTTCATCCATTGTTGGCTTCTTCAGACTCACTTATTTTCCTTTGGCACAAGGAAGTCATGCCAGCCTCGCCTCACAGCCATCCATGAAGGACGTTTTTCTACATTGTGATGTGCTTGAATGTTCCCAGGATGAAAATGATGGGCGCCAGCGTTGGCTGATTGCCACAGCTGCCTCTCCATCAGAGATGTTAGAAGTTCATAGAATCATAGAATGGCCTGGGTTGAAAAGGATCACAATGATCATCTGATTTCAACCCCCCTCGCTATGTGCAGGGTCACCAACCACCAGACCAGGCTGCACAGAGCCACATCCAGCCTGGAGCAGTTAGCTCTAAGCTCACAAGTCCACTCATCAATCCCTCTGAGCAGAGCAGGCTGTGGTTTCCCCAACCCTCTTTATGCTGTTTGCAGAATTTCGGTCAGATCTCCTTGGTGTCACAATCTTTTACAGTCAGAATTTCCCCCCCCCCTTTCCCTTCCCACCTATTTCCTTACTCCTTAGCAACACAAACTGCTGCCACAGCAGTTGGCACAAACACAGAGGCACACGGGGAGCCCCCAGAGGAGACTCAGATACCCGCATGCTGCCTTGGCTGCAGCAGCCTGGGGATGTCACAGCTGTAGTGCAACCCGAGTGCTGCCTTCCTCCATCGCCCTCCTGTTAGGAAACTGCAGCACTTTGCACAAGAAATTAAATACTGGCCTTTTGATCTTTGGCACTGTAAGCACTTTCACTGGCAAAAGCTTTTTGTTGTTGTTGTATCAAGTGTAATTATTATTATTATTACTTTTGCCACTTATATTTTTCCATTGAGACTACAGGAAAGCTAACAGCCACAAGCATTGTTCTCGTGTCATCACACTGCAACAGAGAAAAGCAGAAATGTCAGTGTTACATCATTAGCTGCCATCTCTGTCCCATTCTGTGCTGTAGCTGCCTTATAGTTGGGTGCCTGGGTCTTTATTTACAGTTCATAATAAATGATGGCTGTTTCTGAGTGCTAGCTTGTGAGTTCAGCTGCCCAGTTGTGTGCATTTTCTGTTCTGTTCGAGGCTTTTGGAGACATCTCGACAAAGTGAGCAATTCTTTATCCTCACCCCTGCATATTTACCTCTGAGTTTGATTCTGATGCAAGTTTAGTTTCTGAGAAGCGAAGCAAGAAAGAAAAGCAATTCGTGCAGCAGTGCTGGGGAATGCGAGTGCTCCCAAAAAAGCACTTTGAATCAGAGAGGTGAGCAATGGGGGGGGGGGTCACACACACCTGCCTGAGCCCCTCTGCATTACGGGCTCCTCCAGGCTGGGTGGGTGGGAGCTGCTGACCATAGGGCTGTGCAGATCCGGGGATGGAGGCACATTTCTACGGGCAGCTCCCACTCGCGGCTCTGCAAGCTGGTTTGGCTGGAAACCTCGGGCTCTTCGTGCCGGCGCCTGGGTGAGCTCCAGCTGCAGCGCTGCCCTCCCTTCTGCCTTTGCTTTCTGCTGGGTCTGATCCCCGCCGCACGGGGAGGGCTGGCAGGGTGAGATAACGCAGTGGCTGCAGCGACACCGCTGTCAACTGGCTCAGCTGAGCTCAGCTCAGGGTCGGATGCTGCTCTGCACTTTGTTTTCTTGCCCCGAGGTCGCTGCCATAAGGCAATACCAGAGATTTCCCAGCGTTTAGAGCATTTTCTTCCTGTTTTACGCAACCCAGCCGCTGCCCTCATTCACCCCGCAGGTGGCCAGCGATCTCCACGTACTCAGTCATCACACGTACATATCTAAAATGAGTTCACCACCCAGGCTGCCTGACCCCTCCCTTAAGAAAACAGCTCTTGGCCCCACCGCAAACGCTTTGGATAGAGCTCAAGACACATTGAAAAAGGAAATAAAGCTTTAAAAAAGATATAACGATAACAATATTAAAAGAGAACTGAGTTCTCCGTGGAGTTTTCACCCTTTGCTGGGTGATGAAGAGAGCCGCCCAGCCTCAAGAGGGAGGATGAAGGCAAAACACCGCTGCTCCGGTTCCGAGGGCGGCTCCGCTTCTTTCGCTGAGGGCCGGGCGGGGCCGGGACTGGAGGATTTCCCCAAATGCCCGCTGGCCGCGATGGGCTCCGCTCCGTGCCGCTCGCTGCTGCTGTCCCTGCTGTCGCTGTTGCCCGCGGTGTGCGGTGAGCTCCTCTGCGCTGCGCTCCTTTGCGCTGCGCGCTTCGGTGCGGAGCTCCTCCTGAATGCGTTTTTCTTCTCTTACAGGTGACTGTGGGCCGCTGCCCAAGCTCAGCAGGGCAGAACCTCCCGAGGACGTCCGGCACAAGGACAGCTTCCCTGTGGGCTCCCAAGTAACGTACAGATGCCTCCAGAATTTATCGAAAATCCCATCGCGGTTGGATACAATAAAATGCCTTAGTAACTCCCTATGGTCCAACCTGCAGGAGTTCTGCGACCGTGAGTAGTTTGCTGCTTGGGACTGCGTTCGTGGCTCTAGCAATCACGGCTGTAAGGGCTTCCTCACCTGAGGAACCTCTTCTTGCCCTTCTGTGCCTCGCCTTGGAGCTGGTGCCCCTGTGTTAATAAATACAGATACCTCAGGGCAGCACAGCAGTGAGGGAAGAAAAATAGCTGGGGAGCACCAGCACAGCACAGGGCTTAATTTGGAGTTAACGATGTGGGAAAGTCTGTGGCTGATTGGCTGTGCTGGCTCACACCAAAGGTTCTATCTGGGGAGCTGGCAGTGCAGGTGGGCACCCAGTTTGTGGGCAGCTCTAAGAAGGCAAAATCAAGCATTTGAAATCTTTTCCAGTGAAGCAGCCCTCTGTGGACATTTTAAAGCCATAGAAATTATCCATTGCTTTCTTAAAACCGTCAGTGTAGCAGCATCCTAAAGGCTTGTGCATGGCTGCCTGTATCTGTACCCATCTGAATGCAAAATATTGTTGTTTCTTGCTCTGGAGCTGTACACTTGTCTGTCCTCATTGCCAGGCAGCTGCCAGAGCCCTCCCCATGTGGCTTTTGCCAAACTATCAGAAGAAGATGAGATGAAGAATTTTTATGCTGTTGGGATCACTGTGAGCTACGACTGCAGCCCAGGCTATGAGAACAGCACTGCTGAACTTCCCAGCAGCACCTGCCGTGAGAATTCAACGTGGTCAGAAGTTCCTGAGCTGTGTCACAGTGAGTGCCTCTGCATCCTTCCCTCCAGCTTCCTCCTCCTGCCTCAGCCTCAGCACAGGGCACATGGCAGCTCTTCTAAACATTTAGCACGAAGCACCACCACGAAAATCACATCAGCTCCTCTATTTCTGTTGCTCGGCGCCCTAAGGATGCTCTCATTTCTTTAGAGCAGTCTTGTGGTCCTCCGACAAAGCCAGAACACGGCACTGTTGAGGTAACAGATTACCGCTTCCTTGCAAGTGCCAAGGTGGTTTGTGATGAAGGGTGAGTGTTGAGGATGCCCGCTGCCCCGGGGGGCCCTGGGGCTGTCAGTGCATGGAGCACAGATGTGCCTTTTCCACCTGCAGGTACACACTGTCATCAAGGGAAGCTTTCATCTATTGTTTCACTTGGGGACATGGGGTTGCCTGGACTCCGCTTCCAACGTGTCAGGGTAAGGGAGGCCAGCAGCATTTGGCTGGAAGCACGGAATGTCTGTATTAAAAAAAAAAAGCATTGAATGTTGTGGATTTTATCAGTTGTTGTGGATCTGTGCTTTGTGAGGTGGTGCCCACCAGTGAGCAGCTCAACACCTCTCGTAGGTCTCCCTTCAAATGCACCGTGTTTCAAGTGGGTTGGTAGCAGAAGAGCAGGTGGAGGTAATTCATCTCCAGTACATTAAACACTTCTGACCATTCCTCCTTCAGCTTCTCCCTCTGCAACTGGCACTACAGCAGTGACAAACTCAACCCCTCATTTGGAAGAGAAGGCATCGGAGAGCCGCTACATCCTACGTAAGAGCTCAGGAAGGCAATGTGTGCCTTCAGGCCTCTGTGATTGCAATCCTTGCACCTCACTGCAGAGCCTCAGTGGCTTTTTAAAAATTATTTTAATGTCAGTTTCTTTGTTTCCTTATCCAGCACTTGTCCTCATCCCTTGTGTCACTGGTGAGTAGCTTAACGTGGAAGATATTTTTCCTGACATGCCTGCGATTTGCTATTGAACATATGGGGTCACTGTGTTGGCTTCTCCATGGCTCCTAGTGATGAGTTTGGTGGGGGCCTGGGTTTCTCTGTTGTTGGGCCATGCAGCAGCGCATCATGCGTTCCAGTGGGTCATCTGAGGGTAGAATATTCCATCAGTTGAGGGTGGATGAGGCCAGTGAAAGAAGTCGATCATAAACGATGCACCCTGTGACTCCTTCACTGATAACGTTGGGTTTCAAGGCCTTGGCAGACTGTGGCAGATGAGAGGTAGTGAATCTCAGAGCATTCTTGCTGCAAAAGAAACTGAGTGCAGGAATAGCGAGTATCTTTAAAATACAAAATGAACAGCGAGCTGCCTGTAGGAGCAGCAAATAAATGAGGATGGTACCTTTCAGAGTGGCATCACTCCTAGAGATCCTCGTCCTCATTTGCCAGAGATACAAGAGGGAGTTGCACTCCTGTGGCTGAGAAGGAGCCTCTAGGTGGGGACAGTGCTGCAGAGCACTGAGTTTTGCTGCCTGTCTCTCACCATCAGGAGGGATGCATTAGGGATGTTTCACGCACTCGACTTACCCTACGCTCTGCATTTACTGTTCATCATTTGTTTTCTCCCCAAGGAGCTGCTGTGCTCATCGCTTGGGGCATCAAGAAGTGCAATGAGAGGAAAAAGACTGGGTAGGTGGGCTCTGCTCTTCATTCCTCGGTCACTTTTGGCTTTTTCCTAATGACAGTGGGGGTATTTCACAGAATCCTAGCATGGCCTGAGTTGAAAAGGACCACAAAGCTCATCTCGTTTCAACCCCCTGCTGTGTGCAGGGCCACCAACCAGCAGCCCAGGCTGCCCAGAGCCAGAGCACTTTAAGCTCTGAGCAGTGGCTGTTACATTTGCTGCACATTCATGTGATCCCCATTCCATTGCTGTTTATTCTGTGGATTTTTTTCCTTTCTTCTCTGTCTCTTCAGGTCTTACAAGCCAAATCCTGCGGATGAAGAGCAGAACCTACAGCACAGAACGCAGAGCTGATGGGTGTGCAAGGGGCAGCTGCAGGCGATCCCTAAAAGCACCAGGATTTTTGCAATGGAGAAACTCTCTGTCAAGAGGCAGAAGGTTCAAACTTATTCGTTTTCAGCTCCCTCTCCCTTTCTATAACATTTTACTTTATTTTTAGTGCCAGTAGAACATTTCCCCAGTTCTTAAACGGAGACTTTTAACGTTCAGTAATCATTTCTTTCCACCAGGAGAATGATCCTACGTAAAACACTGCATTTGCACATCCTTGTGAAATCTCTGTACTGTGTGTTTTAATCACTGTTTTGCTAAGACTCATTTAGTAGCTTGCAGATAAAGGTTTGAAAACTACAGTATTTACAGCAAAACTGTTATATTTTTCAATGAAAGGGCTACGGAATAAGCAATGCCTTCTTACAGCCCGGCTGCTCTGTCACATTTGCGATGGGAAAAATCTCTCGCATCGCTCCGGTGCTTCCGCAATCGCGTCCTCAGGCCGAGGCAATCGGTCTCCAGGCGGGTGGCTGCCGCTGCGTCGCGCTGTTGGAGGCGCAGCCGCTGGGAAGGGCGGTGATGGAGATGGTGGTGGTGGAGGAAAGCCCGTAGCTGTGGGCACGGGGGGGGTGGAGATGGAGGCACCGAGCCGCACAGCCCTCGCTGTGATTCAGCCGCTAATTGAAGGCGAAACCTTCGCGCATCGCGGGGCTCGGCGTGGGGAGGAGGCGACCGCGCCCCGTGCCGTGTGGGTGCGGATGTGTGCGTGTGTGCTGGGCCCGGCTCCTCATTTTCCTACGGAGGCGGAAGGATGCCGTGTTACAGCGCGACCGGCGGCTGGCGCTGGTGCAGCCTCCGCTCGCTCCGGAAAAGGTCGTGAGGAGCTGAGCAGCGCTGAGCGGAGCCGTGCTGTAAGGAGCCGTGCTGTAAGGAGCCGTGCTGTAAGGAGCAGTGCTGTAAGGAGCCGTGCTGCCGGGCTGCTCGCAGCATCGCCGCACAACCGTCGGAGCATCCAGGGATGGCCGTGGGAACGGCGCTGCTGTGGCTCGGCGCTGCGCTGCTGGCGCTGCCCGGAGCGTGCGGTGAGTTGGAGCCGGAGGGGAGCGGAGGGGGAAAACACCGCGAGGAGCGCTGCTGATCGCCTCCCCACGCCCGCAGGTGATTGCCCGGAACCGCCGAGGTTCGTTTTTGCGGAGCCCCCCGGTCCTACCAACGCTTCGTACCCCGTTGGGGAGGTGCTGAAGTACCGCTGCCGCCCGGGGTACACGAGAGACGTGAGCAAGTCCAACCGCGTCACCTGCCTGCCCAACTCCACCTGGGCGTCAGAAGCCGACTTCTGCATCGGTGAGTGCCGCCGTGTGGGTGCGGGGTCCCCGGAAGCCCCAAGGTTTCACATGGCTGGGAGGGATGTCCCAAAAGGAGCGCTGTTAATCCCTATTCTGGGCACTCGGAGTGCCCGAGCAGAGCTGCCCTTTGTGCTGAGGCATGTTAATCTCTCGGGCACGGACTCTGTCCTTACTCACTTTACCACCTGCTGATGCGGTGCAAACGCTGAAATAGAATTCCAGAGAAGTAGGGTACAAAGGGACAAAGGCAGCAAGATTCCCCATGCGCCGTCCTGGCATAACACTCGGGTTTCCTTCTGCCCCTTCTGCGCTGCTTTCCTCCCCTACAGACCGTGATTTCACTTCTACATCAGTTTCAAGCCTCAGTAATCAGGTAAACTTTTTTTGTGCTCTTTGCCCTTGGCTGTGTTTAACCTTCCATTCCTCGAAAGTTGAAGTGATTCTGTGTTTCTGAAAGTGCTGGGGAGGAAGGCAGGAAAAGGAGCTCCTGCTCTGCAGTGACTCTGAACAGCAGTGTGATGCTGTGTGCCATTGACTGCGATAAAAAACAACTAATGGTGAGCATTTGCCCTGCCAGGAAAGTCGTGTGAACTGCCAGAAATACCGAATGGTGACTTCCACTTCAGCACCAACCTCCAGTTTGGAGCTACAGTAAACTTCACCTGCAGGGCTGGGTAAGGCTGCGGTGGGTCGAGGATGGAGGCAGCAGTGAGGGGATGGGATGCTTTTAAAGCCTGGGGGCTGAGTCCCTGTTCCTGCAGGAGGTGCTATGAGCAGGCAGCTGTGGGGCCCGGGCTCCTCCTGCTCCTGCTGTCAGAACAGGTGATGCTCTGGGGGTCAGAGTGAGCTCTTTGCAAATTTCTTGCAGCTCAGTGTCTCAGCTAAGGGCCCTTAGGCTTTGGAGCACTGGGGATGCAGGGAACGGGAGCAGTGATGGGGGTGTTGGTGACATTTCTGACCCCCCGTTGCACAGCATGGGGCTGGGGAAGCTCCTGTGTTCCCCCCTGCTGCCAGCATTACATCCAATTCTGCCTTTCTTCAGAATTATAGAACAGCCTGGGTTGCAAAGGAGCACAGTGCTCATCCACTTCCAACCCCCTGCTGTGTGCAGGTCACCAACCAGCAGCCCAGGCTGCCCAGAGCCACATCCAGCCTGGCCCTGAATGCCTGCAGGGATGGGGCACCCACAGCCTCCTTGGGCAACCTGTGCCAGTGCCTCACCACCCTCTGGGTGAAAAACTTCCTCCTAATATCCAACCTAAACCTCCCCTGTCTCAGTTTAAAGCCATTCACCTTTGTCCAATCACTATCTACCCTCATTAACAACCGTTCTTCCTCCTGTTTGTACTCTCCTTTCAAATACTGGAAGGCCGCAGTGAGCCTTTAGGTACTGAAATTGTATTTTATGGGTTGGATGGCTGTTTTTTCCCCTGAGGCTCAGCTTCTGCAGAGAGCGCCATTAGAAACTGCACAGCTTTGCATTTCACCAGTTTTTTTACACTTATTTTGAAGAGGTTCAATCTTTTTGCTCTCAGGTACCGTTTAGTTGGGAATCCGACGGCGCAATGCGTTCTGAGTGGCAGTGATGTCACTTGGGATCACGTTCCACACTGTGAAGGTGAGTGCATCTTACGTGCTTTGTGTAGGTTCTCAAAGCTACTGCTGCACACCTCTCCTTCAGCCTCTCCTCTCGGACTAGAGCTGCTTCTCTGCTGCTTTATCACTAAAGAAATATGTGTGGAATCTGAAGGAGTGTCAGCATTCAGGACATTGGGTTGAGATGGTTGCCTTAGCGCTGCTTCCTCGTTTTTCCTTTGGCTTTTCTTGGCAGTCATTTGGTCGTTTGTAGAAGTTTGTAGACCTCAGCCTCACGTTTGATGGAAATGTTTCTGTGTTTTCCTACCATTGCTTTCCTGTGCAGTTATTCCCTGTCAGCCACCTCCTGCCATTGAGAACGGACAGTTCAGTGGTGTGCACACAGATTACACCTTTGGGGTAGCTGTAACCTACAGCTGCAAAAATGGGTTTTCTCTCATTGGAAACGCCACAATTCACTGTACAGCAGATGATAACCTCAATGGGATATGGAGTGATCCAGCCCCAGAATGCAAAGGTAAATTTCTTCTTCCTCTCCTTCTTCTTTTGCTTTGTTTCTCATCATTCTCCTATATGAATTCTTTCCACTCAGCTGACAAACAGGAGAATTTGAGTCTAAATGGATTCCACAGTGCTGTGGTTTCCCATAGTCAGAGACAAGGCTTGGTGCAGTGGTTCCTCAGCACACGGGAAGCTGCTGTGATAACCTGAACTGCGTGAGCGTAGGCAGATGAAGACCTCATTGTGGCCTTCCAGTATTTGAAAGGAGAGTACAGACAGGAAGGAGAACGGCTGTTTATGAGGGTGGATGGTGATGGGACAAGGGGGAATGGCCTTAAATTGAGACAGAGGAGATTTAGGTTGGATATTAGGAGGAAGTTTTTCATGCAGAGGGTGGTGAGGCACTGGCACAGGTTGCCCAAGGAGGCTTTGGATGCTGTTTCTTCACGGTGTCTCTGCTTACTGGGTACTTGTGTCATGCCTATCTGCCACTGTCTATAGGAGCTTCTCACGTAGTGGCCCTGGTGATGCTTTTTCTTCTTGCAACAAGTGTTCTTATCAACTTCCCTTCACTTCCAGTGGTGAGATGTGAAAAGCCAGAAGTGGAAAATGGGAAGAATTTAAACAGCTTTGCCACTGAGTACACGTATGGAGAACAAGTGAGCTTTGAGTGTGCTCCTGGGCACGCTTTGAGCGGCGCTCAGACGGTTACCTGTGATGCAGACAGTGCCTGGAAGCCACCTCTGCCAACGTGTGACCCACGTGAGTACACACAGGCTTTCTTCCTGAAGCAGTTGCCCTGAAGCTTGCATTTGTGTGCTGCAGATGGTGCAGCTGAGCACAGATCACGTTAGCTTTGGTAGCTAGCATTGCTTTTGTCTCCAATTGTCAGGATACTGTGGCCCTCCTCCCAACATCCCTTCTGCTGAGTTAACAGGGGCTGCAAACAGCAGCTCCTTGGCTGGAACGAAGCTGACATACCGGTGTCAGCCAGGTTTCACCACAGAGAGTGGGAAGTCCCTGGAAGTCACCTGTATGCTGGATGCCACCTGGTCTGCAGGCTCTGCACTGTGCACACGTGGGTACCTCTGCTCTTCTGCTTGGCCACACAAGTGAGCTAAACCTGCTCCAGATGCTGGATACTCTGGTTGGTGTCCAGCTCTGGGTTTGCAGACACGCCTACAGCTTTCTTGCTGAATTGGCTTCAAGAATGTATGAATCAATTTCTTTTTCTCTAGGTCAGCAATGCGCTGCTCCCACGATACAGAATGGGATTGTGAATGAGGACAGTTTCCTGTTTGGGGCAACTGTGACCTTCTCCTGCAACGCTGAGTGAGTTGGGGCAGAAAATCAGGGACTCCAATAGGCTGTGAGCACTTCCTGCCCTGGTTCCCAGTGCAAGATCTCAGTACAGCTGCCTGTTGAGTGTAACTTTGCTGAGAGAGGCAATGCTCGCTGAGCACTGATGCTGGGAACTCTTCCCATCAGCCATGTGCTGCCTGCACAGCACCACGGTGCCCTTACTCACCCAAGTGGCCCAGATCCCATTCCGTAGCAGAGGCAGCTCCTGGCTGATTGCTTCCATCCATGCCATGGGAGGAAGGGAGAACCATTGCTGGGTTGTTTTCTGGAGTGTGCTAAACCTCCCCTCTTTCTTTTAGGTATGAATTAAAGGGATCATCTTCTGCCAAATGTGTGGCAGTGGGAAATGGAGTTGAATGGGACGTGGATCTCCCATCCTGTGAAAGTAAGGAAAAGGGAAATCTGCAGCAAGCCATGGGGACAACAGCTGCATGGGGGTGGGATGGGGCTGGGATTTCAGTACTGGTACTGTGAGGCATCATGGAACTCTCAGAGATTAAGCTGAGGAGGGAGAGCAAAAGTTACATGAAAAGAAAAATTGCTACCTGATTTTTGGGTGGGAGAGCTTTCTTTCCCTGCGGTTACCAGGGAAATGTAAGATGTAAGAGGGATGTCTTACATGTAAGAGCCCTATCCTCTTAATTTGCTGTAATGTCAAAGTGGGGTAATGCACAGCGTGATGGGAAGCTGGGAATGGCTGAAATGCTTCTGACTGTCACTCCCAGGTCTTGCTATGGGCTGAGACTCCAGAGCCGGGCTAAGGGCAGTAGCTGAGGTCTGGTACTTAGCAGGAGCACTCAAAGCATTCCCACTTGCTGCTAGATGCACAGCCCTGGCTGTATTTCCTTCTCCCCAGGCACACTGTGTACATCTTCAGTTAGGAGAAGCACTCAGTCTCTCTTGGTGCTGTTCCCCACAGGACGACGCTCTGATGTTCTCTGTGAACAGCCCCCCAGCATCGGCAATGGGGTTCACAATGGCACAGAGGTCACAGCCTTCCCCCAGGGCTCTGTTGTGGTTTATTCCTGCAATGATGGCTTCATCCTGGTTGGAGGCAGCACCATTCAGTGCCTGGCGAAGGCTCAGGATCGTGGAGTCTGGAGCACACCCCCTCCTGAGTGCAGAGGTGATTTTCTCCTGCAGCTGTCTTGCTGTTTTCTCTCTGTTTAAAAAAGCAAAAGCAACAAAACAGAAACACGCCCTGTTTTTACTTTCTCTTTGAACCTTCAAAGAGGCAGCTCAGCTCAGAATATGCCATCTGCACTTCCTGGAACAACCCCACTTAGAATCTCATGCTAACAGCACGGGACTGGGCTGCATCACAGCCTTGCAGGCTGATGGGAGTGTTATCTGCTAAAACGCAGATGGATTCACCCCCATGGTGCAGGGCAGTGCAGGGTGATGCAGGGCTCCCTTTCCCCACGTGTGCTGGCTTTGAGCTGCTCAGTGCTGTATAATCAGATGCCCTGAAGGGCTCCCTTTGGCTTTGAGCTGCTCAGTGCTTTATAATCAGGTGCCTTGAAGTGTTGCATGGTTTTGCAGAGTCACATGTTGGCTTTCTTCCTTTCCAGATGGAGCAAGCAGCATCATTGTTGGTAAGTGACATGTACTGCAGATCGTTGTGCTCCCATCCTTGGGTATCTTTACATTACTGGTTCCTTCTGTGTTTTACTTAAACCTGAAACAGGCCGAAGAGTCTTCCATAGCAGTCTGTTGTCATGCTTATGTTTCTGTTGCTGTGAAAAAGAGGTGGGGAGGAAGGCGGAGGTGCTGCATGTCTGTGGCTGGGAGGAAAAGGGTGAGTGCACAGACTGAAGTTCCTTTTGCCTCTTGCAGGAGTCCTGCCCCTCCTCCTGGCAATGCTGGTGATGAACTTCTAGATCAGGGCACGGCTGCAGCATTCAGATGGTGGGATGTGGTTGTGCCCTGCGTTGCCTGCTGGAGAAATCAACCCTGCCACAGCGACTGGCTGACCTGTGATGGATGAAGATGATGTTGAGCCCTCGTGCCCCCCAGACAAGATGTTGCACTTTTTAGCTGGCGTTGTGCTGGACACAACAGCAGTGTGGCTGTGCCAGCGGTTCAGATGTGAGTGTGGTTATCTCTATGGGAAGTGGCAGTGATACCAAAGGTTTTTGAACTGCACTGCTGTGGACTCGAGGAAATTTGGCACTTTGGGTACCTCTGTGGTCTGACTTTCAGCCCCACTGAGGTAATGCTGAGCCTTGTTCCCATTAGGGCTCACAGCTTTCTGAAGTGTCCTGATGCGTGACTGTTCCTGTATGAGTGGTACATACTTGAATTAATAGGGTGAGCCAAATACTGTGACACTGAAAGCACTGACAATGTTTGCATAGAAGCACACTGTAGCATTTTCTTCAAGGCCAGTGTGGACAAAACAAACCTTATAGATGGGTAATTTTGCTGGAGAGAATATAAATATAAACACCTTGTGACAAATAACTGTTCTGACTCTTCCTCTTTGTGCTAAAATTAGGTTCAGAAAGTGTTTGCCACCTCCCTGCTTGGTATCAGTGCTTCTCTCCAACCACCCAGAGCTGCCCTTCCTTCCTGCCCCAGGGCCATGCACAGCCTGCAGTGAGCTGCCACCCAGATGCACAAAGTCACTTGCTGTCAACATTTTCGCTTTCTGCTCAAGCTGCCCAGCTGTGAGACATCAGGGCTGCTGTGCTGGTGGGGGAAAAGCAGGGCTGGGCTTCTTGCTCTGCTTGCCTGGGGTGCCCAGAGCACCTGCTGCATCTGAGGTTGCATCCAGAAGGACTTGCAGCTGATGTTGCACCTGAGGTTGGCACAGAGAGACACTGAGCAGAGCCTTTATTATTTATTCATCCCTGGGGAGCAGGGCAAGGAGCAAGCTGACATCTTGGAGGTGAGGGCAGGAGCTGAAGGCTTCATGGGGATCCCAGTTATGTGGAATGCAAAACTGACAGCTTTGAAATGCATGTGCTGCTGATGCCTTCAGACCCTGTGCCTCTGTTAAGCAAAACATGGAGGCTCAGGGCTGTGTCTGAAGATTGCAGCTCCGGGTTCTTCACGATCCTTCTCAGCTTCACGATCTACAGCTGGAAAATGGAAGTATTCAGAATGCTTATCATGCACTTATTTGTTTCTGCATTTTTATTTGTGCCTTCCTGTTAACCGGAACACGCATCTGTTAAGAGGAAAAAGCACAGAGAGCCACTTCCACGAGCACCTGAACTTTCTTGTAAATAGACTCAGAATGTTCCCCTAACAGCAGGGCTCTGTCCTGCCCAGCTGACCCTCTGGAAAAGCAAAGAAAAGCACTGTTTTCAGAAGAAAATCTTACAGAACCAGAAGTTGCAGGTTGTTTTTCATTCATAAATACGCATTTCACATACAGACACGTATATAGAGAGATGCGTGTGAAAATCTGGTTGTATATATGTGCAAAATGTATTGTTGTAAGGATCAGAACACAAATGGAAAGCTCAGTGCCTTACTGCTGTGTTCTGCTTTATTTTAACTTCAGCATCATTGTTTCTGTGGCATAGTCCAGAGTTCATTTCCCAAATGATTGAACTTCATCTTGAAGTGACCACATGCACCATGAAAGCTGCCAGTAAAAGGGATAAGAACAACCTGAGCGCTGTTTGCCAATTGCCTTCTCTGGGCTCAGAACATCCCCTGCCATGCAGCACTGCTGGGGGGGTCCTGGAGCCCTGATGGTCAGTCTCCAGCTGCAGAGCATTGCCCCATTGCCCCCCAGGGACAGAGTGTATCCAGCTGCCCCAGCCCAGTGTGTGGGAGGAGGTGGAAGTGTTCTACTCTGCCCTTCCCTTCCCGTAGCCAGGCAGGCTTAGCTGGCAATGGCTGCTCAGGAAGAACCCTGGCCACTTCCCATAACCAGTGATGATGCTCTGCAATGACTCCATCTGGCTGAAAGCCCCTCACGCATTCTCTGTCACAGATACCTCATGTCCCAAAGCAGGTCTCAAGGGCCATCCTCCCTTGCATGGAGGGACCAAAATACCATCAGCAGAACGTCACTGGGGCTGCACAGCCCAGGCTTGTGGCTGCCCACACCCTGTGCAGGAGCCCACAGGTTCCTGTCCCCCAGCCCTGGGAAACCCCCACAGCTGCGATCCTTCCTCAGGCATGGGGAACCAGGACCCCCATATCTGCATCGCATCCCCTGGGATCTGCAGTCAGCACTGGGACCAGAGCATGGTGCTCACCTCCACCCTCAGCATCCTGGGCTGCTCTGCTCTGCTCCTGGCTGCTGTGAGTGGGCAGCAAGGTAAGGCAGGACCTTCACCTTCCTTCCACACCCCTCCTCTGCCTCCTCGCTGCTCCTCTCTGTGCTCCTCTGGCTTTCCCCAGTGCAGGGCAGGCAGATCCCTGGGAACAGGGGGATGTGGGCGTGCCAGATCCTGAGCATCACAGAGGTGATGAGCTCTGTTGCAGCAAGGAAGGGTCAGGTTGGGTATTGGGAGAAATTTCTTCTCCAAAAGAGTGGTGATGCAGAGGCACCCAGGGAGGTGGTGGGAGGCGCCCAGAACTGTGGGGATGTGGCTCCGAGGGACGTGGTCAGAGGGCAAGGTGGGATGGGTTGGACGTAGGGATCTCAGAGGTCTTTTCCAGCCTTAACGATTGGTGCTTCTGTGATTCTATAAAAAAGCATCTGTCGTCTTGGCCAAAGCCTTTCTCCTGTTCTCTGTGGGGCAGGAGAGATCTGGGGCTGGCTGGTGCCAGAGTAAAAGCTGTACACCAGCACCTTCCCTCGGCACTTGGCTGAGAGTGCTTGGGCCCTGCAGGTTCATTCTGGATGGGAACTTCGAGCTGAGCTCCTGCAGCAGTGAGGAGGAACATTTCATGGGGCAGCACCAGGAGATGGGGCACAGAGTCTTTCATAACTTCTCAGAACAAGGGGCTCAACCTACATGTTTGAGCTGCCAAAGTAAAGCAGGGCATGAACGAAGTATTACTCAAGAAGCCTGTGGCAATAATAGCTCGTGTTTGGGATTTGTCAAGTTGAAACTTGCTGTGATAAATAGAAGTGAATTGGGATGGGGCAGAGCAAACAGGCTGAGCTCTGCTGTTGATCTGACAGCCTGAGGTGCCTGGAAAGCACGGCCCAAACCCACAGGAGCTTGGCTTGCCATCAGAGCTGCTCCCCCTGCTGATTTGGGTTTGCAGGCTGGTTGGGCAGCGCTGCCACAGCACTGCAGATCTGAGGGCCGTGTGGCTGAACGTTGCTGTTGTCTCTCTTTCCAGTCAGACAGCGCCGATGCGCAGTGCCACACATTGAGAATGGGAGGAGCGCTCCTTTTCGCTACGTCTACCGGCCCGGGGACTCAGTAAGATTCACCTGCAACACGGGCTACACCTTGCAAGGCTCCTTCACGAGTATCTGCCAAGCTGACTTCAGCTGGAGCCCACCTTTGCCAGCATGCAAAAAGGGCAAGTGTTGTGTGTGTGTGAGTGGGGCTGCTGCAGGGCAGAGCTCCCTCCATGTCCTCTCATATTGCTGAGAAAGCAAAGCCAGGATGTCCCTGCTGCTCTTCCCGAAGTGGGAGGGAGGGAAGCAGCTCTGGAAAGACGGGCTGGGATGGGGAATGGAGTTGGCAGCAGCCAGGGCTCTCAGGGGATGTGGAGAAGCTAACGCTGGTGCTGTGCTGCTGTGCAACCAAAGGCTGCAGCCGGGGGGGGGTTGCACCATCTGCCTCCCTGGGGGGATTTCTGGACTTCTGCTTATGACCACACATGGGATGTTTCCATCTTCCTCCCAGAATGGGAAGTAATCAGAGTTTCCCACTTGTGCTGCTTCTCTGCTCACGTGTGTGCTCTGCCCGAGCTGTGATGTGCAGTTTCCCTATTGACAGAGGGGAAGGAGTGCCTCTGTTAGGAGTGATTTCCCCCAGATGCAATGCGATTGTGATCTCGTGCTGTTCTAATTTAACAAAACACAGACCGAGCAGCAGTCAGGCTGTCACCCTGACCATCAATCCTGTGTACAAAATAGTGACTCCCAGTGCAATATCATCTTCCCCTGTAGAGGTGATGTGTCCTCAGGCCCCGAACATCGCCAATGGGCGGCACAGCGGCCAATCCACGAACAAATTTCTCCCAGGAGCAATCGTGTACTACAGCTGCAAGGATGGCTTCCAGCTGCTGGGGAACGTCTCCATCAGCTGCTCAGAAGTCGGGCGCTGGAGCCGGCCCCTGCCCCGCTGCCAAGGTGGGTGGAGGCCGCCCTGTGGGCACGGCTGCTCTGTAGCCGCAGGATGCGGCCCTGCACTGACAACCATATCTGTGTTCCCACAGCCATCGGCTGCCAGAGTCCCACAGTGCACAACGGGAAGGTGCAGGCATTGAAGGACACCTTCGAGGCTGGGGAGACGCTGCGGTTTGACTGCGATGCTGGGTATGCTGCAGAGGGCGGCCATTGGGCTCGGTGCCAGCCTGGGGGGAGCTGGGACCCACCGGTGCTCAGCTGTGAGCAGGGTGAGTGTGTGCAGGGCGCAGGAGGAGCCAGCAGGGTTGCTGCACATCCCCGTGTCCATCACAGCCACTCATCCCCGTCGTGTTCCTCTCTCATTTCGTCTCCTCTTTGCAGTTCAGCCGTGCCCCATGCCTCCAAAGATCAGCAATGGAGATCATGATGGCCACGGCAGAGCAGAGTTCACCATGGGGATGTACGTGACGTACACTTGCAATGTTGGCTACTACTTGGCTGGGAACGTTGAACGTGTCTTTTGCAAAGCATCGGGGAAATGGAGCCAGCCCAGCCCACACTGTGAAGGTACACGTGTGTGAAGGTCACCCTGTCTGCATGCTGTCACCTCGCTCTGTGGCCAGCATGGCATGACACAGCTGCTGGCCTTGGCACTGAGCCCTTCAGCAAGGGATTCGATTCTCCTGAAGTTAAGTATTCAGTTTTATTACATGCAGAGGATGAGCTTATATCCATGAACCCTGAGCTAAGTGTTTCTGAAGCTGCAGGTTCTGTACCTCCAGCATTGCATCTAGCAGCACGGCTCCATCCTGCCCAGTGCTGGGCAGTGCAGCTGGGGCTCAGCCATGTGGAGTGCTCCAGGCACAGCCCAGCAGGGACCGCTGCTTCCTCCAGTTAGAGAAGAGTTTTCTGTACTAATTCGCTAAGTAATTAATGATATGACAAAGCATTTTAGTGCCAGTGTTTCTGAGTGAAAGTAGGCCTTAACCTCGGAATATTTCTGTGAAAATTCAAAGCTAAAAATGGCCATTCATAGTGCCAACGTGAGCCTAAGCCATGCTATATTTTCAGTCTTCATTTCTGGACTAAGACCTGTGTTACTGAACCCAGTGCCTGGCCATGATGCTGAGAGCCACCAGGCCAGACTGAGATAACACACTGGATCTGCAGAGGCAGTTTCAGGATGAGGCTGCTTGGGCTTCATTAAATCAGCTCAAATTTCCTTGTTCTGAAAGGAAAGCCTGGGCAGCTGCAGCGGGCAGGAGGGACACAGAGATGAGCAGGACATAGGGTACCAAATCTCTGCCCCACCTTCACCTTTTCCATGCTGACTGCTGAGCTGCTTTGAGCTGCACATCCCCACAGCACCGCTTGTCCCACGTCCCTCACGGCTTTTCCAATTCCCCTGCAGAAGTGACGTGCCCTCAGCCCCCGAACATCGCCAATGGGCGGCACAGCAGCCGCTCCTCTGCCAGGTTCCCACACGGCACCGTTGTGTACTACAGCTGCAAGGATGGCTTCCAGCTGGTGGGGAACGTCTCCATCAGCTGCTCAGAAGTCGGGCGCTGGAGCCGGCCCCTGCCCCGCTGCCAAGGTGGGTGGAGGCCGCCCTGTGGGCACGGCTGCTCTGTAGCAGCAGGATGCGGCCCTGCACTGACAACCATATCTGTGTTCCCACAGCCATCGGCTGCCAGAGTCCCACAGTGCACAACGGGAAGGTGCAGGCATTGAAGGACACCTTCGAGGCTGGGGAGACGCTGCGGTTTGACTGCGATGCTGGGTATGCTGCAGAGGGCGGCCATTGGGCTCGGTGCCAGCCTGGGGGGAGCTGGGACCCACCGGTGCTCAGCTGTGAGCGGGGTGAGTGTGTGCAGGGTGCAGGAGGAGCCAGCAGGGTTGCTGCACATCCCCGTGTCCATCACAGCCACCCGACCCTCTGCACACTCGTCTCTCATCTCCCTGTCTCCTCTTTGCAGTTCGCCCTTGCCCCATGCCTCCAAAGATCAGCAATGGAGATCACAACCGGCACGGTGAAGGCTTTTTCACCACGGGAATGTCTGTGTCGTACACCTGTGATCCCAGCTTCTACCTGGTTGGGAATGCACATGTGGTTTGCAGAGCATCAGGGACCTGGAGCCAGCCCAGCCCACGCTGTGAAGGTGCGTCCGTTGCTCACTGTGGGCAGACCTCCTCCCCACAGCCCTCAGGTCCTTAGAATTAATCCCACGTGAAGTGCTGCATGGTGGAAATTAATTTCAAACCCTTCTGTTATCAAAACAGGGCTAGGGATGTTTGGACAACGCCGTGTAGATTTTTGCTGTTGCACTATTAGCAGCCTGTGGGTTTGGGGTTTTTATCTGCTTATTTTTACTCCTTTTGCTCATCATTTCTTCACATCTTCTCTTCCAGCAACCGTCTGCTTAAAGCCAGATATACAGGATGGGTGGGTAGTTGATGATCATGGACTCATCTATGCACCGGGGCAAATGGTGACGTTTCAGTGCCAGGAAGGCTACAGCTTGCGGGGCAGTGCCCAAGCCCTGTGCCAGAAGAACGGCAGCTGGGACCCCCCAGCACCCCTCTGCGATCCACTCCACAGCTCCGTGCTGCCCAGAAGGGCTGAGAGCTCAGGTAATGATTCTGGAGCTGCCTGGGGTGGGTGGCTGCTCGTTAGCCCCTAACTCAGCTGTTAAATAAAGCGTTAAATCCTATAAGAAAGCAGAAGATTTAGTTATCTGTTGGGAACAGGAGCCTGAAATCTGGAATCTTTTGGGAAAAAAAGATGATTCTGTGGTTCTGTGTTTGCTTAGTAGTGACTACATCAGGCCAAATAACCAAATGTTCAAGGCAAAATAAACATCCTTCCTGATAACGGTGTTCTCTCTCTGCTTTCACCCAGTGCTCCTGTCCTGCCTAACTCTGCCTGTTTTCTCTTGGTAGGTGGCTGTGGGCTTCCCACCAGGCTGACCTTTGCTGAGCTCAATGAGGAGCACAGAAATGAGATTGATTTCTCTGTTGGGAAGACTGTGGGATACACTTGTCGGCCCGGATTTGCTAAGCACCCAGGAATGTCACCCACTATTACATGCCTGCAGAGCGGAGTGTGGTCAGAAGCACTCGAGTTCTGTAAAAGTGAATAGCTCCTTGATTTGGTGGTGTTGTTCCAGAAAGGAATAGGTGCTGGGTTCTGTCCATGCTGCAAAAACCTTACCGTGATTCTGGTGTTCCAATCCTATGTGACTAGTAAAGCCATGTAAACTTACGTTGCTTGAAACCCATTTTGGGGGTAATTGGAAATGTGGGAGGATTACTGGAATAGCAGTTGCATCTCTTGGGCTGTTATAGGGAGAAGCCTATAGGGAGATTCTCTCTCCTCCAGGGAAACAATGCAATCACCCCGGGGAACCCGAGAATGGCCGGATTACAGCCCTGGCAGACCTCTTCTTTGGGTCAATAGTGGTCTACAGCTGTGAAGAAGGGTAAGTGCAGAGTTCAGGTCTGCTCCTTAAAAGGTCAAGGCAAGATGTGTTAGGTAAGCCTCCCTCTTTTCCTCCTTTTCATCCATTCATTCTCAATGCACAAAGAAGCCCAGGCATAGAGCTCTGTACCTATATGAGCACATGGGGTTTTCCCAATCTTTTGCTGTGAAAAAAGGTAGACAGGTGCTGAGCTCAGAGGGGAATTTCTCCCGCAGTGCCAGGGCTCCACTTGCTGAACCCACTGCAGGGGGTGACAGCTCAAAGCAAAGTGACTGGAGTGAATGTGAGCCCTTCTACCTCCAGGCACAGGCTGATCGGGAAGTCCAGCCGGCGATGTGAGATCCATGGGGGACGCGTTGCATGGTCCGGTGACATTCCCACCTGCCAACGTGAGTAGATCCCAGCTTTGGGTCTGCATGGTGCTGGGATTTGTGTCCCAGCAGCAGCTCCCAAATCTCTCAGTCAGAGCTATCCCTGCTCCACGGGCATGGAAATAGAAGGGTTTGATGTCATAAAGAAATATTCTGGGAAGAAGTACAAAATCTCAGAGAGAAATGGATTATTGAAAGTGAGGAGTCACGGGCAGTGATTTCTCAGCACTGCTTGTATAGATTTTGCACAGAAGACTTGAGGCTGTTGGGTGGTTATTTTACTTCTTGAACAGTAGAAAGGACAAAGCACGTAGAAGCTTCCTCCATAAGAGGAATTTCAGTCGTTTTACCTGTAGACCAAGTTTGTACGCCCCCCAGACTGTGGGGTTTTGAGTACTTCAGTGCTGTGTTGAATGCAGAAGGTTTGCTGTGCCCCATTGCAGGTATCCCCTGTGTGCCCCCCCCCAACATTCCCCATGGGAAGCACACGGGGCGGCTGCTGGATGAGTTCCACTACGGCACCTCGGTCACCTACAGCTGCGAGCCCGGTTACCCAATGCACGGGAATGCTTCCATCTTCTGCACCACCCAAGATGGGAAAAACGGGGTGTGGAGTGGACCCCCCCCACTGTGTGGAGGTAGGGCTCAGAGGGAGCAGGTGGGAGTGCTTGAGTGCAGCAGCCCAACCATTTTCTGTTTGGAAAGGCGAGGAGACCTCAAAATGGTTGCATGTGTTGTCTGGGTGCCTGCTGAGGCAGCGGTTGCTGCTTTGGTGTGGGAATTGTTGCTTTGGAGTGGGATTTATTGCTTTGGTGCAGGATTTGCTGCTTTGGGCAAGAATTGCTGCCTTGGGGCAGGTGCAGGCAGGATGCTGTAGAAGCACGCACCATCTGCAGCACTCTCAGCCTCACCTTCCAGCTGGGGTCTCCCCTGCACTGTCAGGCAGTGCATCATCAATAGGAAAATCACCATCAGGCTTGCAACTTGAAAGTGATTGCAGGCGCAAGTGCTTTGCAGTGCACAGCTGTGCAAGCTCTGAGGACATCTCTTCCCTTCCAGAAGCAGGATGCTCTGCCCCGCAGATCCAGAATGGGAGGATAGTGCCAGCTCCTCGGAGCACCTACGCACACAAGGACAACGTCACCTTCGAGTGCGAGCCAGGCTACGTCATCCGTGGCCCCAGAGTGGTGCAGTGTCAGCAGAACAACACCTGGCAGCCCCCGGTGCCCATCTGCGAGCAGGGCAAGTGGCCGGCCAGCACTGCGGGTGCCACCCTGCCCCAGTGTCCCCTGACCCTTTGATAAGTTGTTGGCTTGTGTCCCCGACAGCTGGCTGCAGGGCACCCCCCAGGTTGCTGTTTGCAGAGCTGAAGGAGCCCTACAGGAACCAGACTGCCTTTCCTGTGGGTGGGACTGTGGAGTACATGTGCCAGCCCGGCTATGCCTGGCACGTGGGGATGTCACCGACCATCACGTGCCTCGGGAATCAGAGCTGGTCTGTGGCACTGGAGTTCTGCAAAAGTACGTCCTGCATGTGCTGTTGGGAAATTCATACTTCTTGAGTGCAAAAAGCCTTCTGGTTTTGTGGGTTTATTCCTTTGGGGCAGCACGCTGTCTGTTTGAGCGTCCCCAGGGGATTTGGTGCACAATGCTGATGTGCAGTGCTAACAGCAGCTGTGTCCTCTCGCAGGGAAGCAATGTGCAAACCCTGATGACCCACAGAATGGCAGAGCCATGGTCCTGACTGATCTCCTCCTTGGGTCCAAAGTGAATTACACGTGTGACGAGGGGTGAGTTTGTGGCCAGCTGAGCTCAGCTGCCATTTGAGAGTAACGCAGAAATTAAGTGGCAAAATGACTTTACGTGGAGGAACCTCACGAAGTCAGAAGTCTTGGCTGCTATTAATAAGGCTTGTGAAGAAGTCTGGAGTCTCTTCATGTAGTTACTGGTGCTTCTGTGTGATGCAGATACAAGCTGATCGGGCGTCCGCAGAGGACATGCGAGGTGTCTGGCACACGCGTTGCATGGAGCGGGGATGCTCCCACCTGCCATCGTAAGTGGGATGGGAGGGGGCCCTTGGAGATGGCTTCCTTGGGGTGTACAGAGGAAGGGGAGAATCTTTCCAGGCAAAGGTGCCATTACAAAAGATTTCTTGGGTCACTCTATGTGTGAAATATTTCATGTTTCTTATTTCTTATGCTTTGTTTCATTTTGGATATTTCTGAAATTGTTTTCAAAGGCCTTTTATCTTGGTCCAAACTGGGAACGCTGTGCATGTTTTAAACTTCCTGTTCCTTTAGTAAGAATTCCTCACTTATTGTGAGTAGAAATGTTTGGTCAGGTTCTCTCTGTGTGAGTCACAGTGGTTATGGAGAGGGCAGTAAGAACTGTACCCCCACCTTTAGCAGGATAGCGAGGAAATGACTGACCCAAGGTACAAGTTTGCCTTCCCACACATTATCTCAGGATAATTTGGGTCATTTTGCTCAAAGAGCTTAATTGCTGGGATGAGTTTAACTTCATCCATTCCTTCCTGGAAACGAAGGGTCCCAGACCCCAGTATTGCAGCAACAGTGCTAAAACCTCACCTGTGTATTCCCAGGTATTGTCTGCGACCCACCCCCAGACATCCCACATGGAACACACAGTGGGGGATCGATGGATGCCTTCCCCTACGCGGCCGTGGTCACCTACACGTGTGAGCCAGGCCGTGTTTTGGCTGGGACAGCCTCCATCTTCTGCACCACCATGGATGGGGAGCGTGGTGCATGGAGCGGGCCGCCGCCGCGCTGCGGAGGTGAGTGCTGCAAAGATGGTGGGAGGCAGATGTTTATTAATGGGGTTCATTGTCTTCCTCCTTTGGTTTCTGAAGGTTGAGTTATTTTCTTGTCCATATCAAATAATATTCACTCCCTCCCTTCTGCAGATGTGCAGTGTCCTCCCCCTCCAAGCATCGCCAATGGGAAGCACAGCAGCCAGCCCTCGGACACATTCCTGCCCGGAGTGGCCGTTCAGTACAGCTGTAAGGATGGCTATTTGCTCACTGGGAATGCATCCATCACCTGCACTGCTGCAGGAACCTGGAGCCAGCCCCGGCCACGCTGTGAAGGTATGTCTGTGTCGGCTGCTTGGCACCTGGGTCATCTTTTTCCTCTTGGCTCTGTGTTTAACCATTACTCACCAAATCCCCACGGAGGAACAGCCAAAGGGGGCCACAATATGGAGAGTCTCTCGAGCACAATGGGATAATGAGATTTCAGATTTTGGGGGGCAAGAATATCAATCAATATTGTTGACACACCCATGGTGTTGATGGCCAGGCTTGATTGCAGTTACCACGCTGGCTTGGCTTTGTGTCCCAAATACGCCCTATAATCTTCACTTCCAGCAATAGGCTGCAGAAGACCCGAGATTGAGAATGGAAGAGTGACTGGGCCAGAGTCCGTCTATATGCCCGAGGCCATCGCTGTCTTTGAATGCAATTTTGGTTACGCCTTAAAGGGCTCTCATGAGTCTCAGTGCCAGTTTGGGGGCACATGGGATCCTCCTGTTCCCACCTGTGAAAAGAGTAAGTGTAAGCGGGTGGGTGATGGGTGACTTCTGAATCCACCCCAGCAGGTGCAACTACGTCACATTGGAGGTAAAGGGACCCTAAGGGTCCCCTTGGGTAGCAGGACAGAAATGGAGGCAGGAGACGGGTGTGGGCTGGGCGGAATCATATCCAAACTTTGGCACCTTTAGATACCTGGGAACAGCTAACGGGGAAGAAAGAAATAGCAATGCAGCCTCATCACACAGAGTGTAGACCTGGGGTGTAGACCTTCACCACGTTTGATTTTTCCCCTTCCTGTAGTGCTGCAGTGTCCTTCCCCTCCAAATATCACACACGGTCAGTACAGTAGTGAGGATGTGAAAATGTTTGTCCCCGGAACCTCTGTGAGGTACAGATGTGACCCGGGGTACGTCCTCACGGGGAAAACAGCAGTGACTTGTTTGACATCTGGAATGTGGAGCATCCCTTACCCGCGGTGCGAAGGTGAGCGGAAAGGCTCTGGCCCATGGGCTGCATGCACAGAGGAGCATGGGGGAGAGGGTGGGCAGGCATTTAAAGGATTTCAAGTCCATGCACTCCTTTTCATGTGGATGCTCACTGAATTTTGACCTCATAAAAACACAGGGGGAAGCCTGGCTCTGGCAGCCACTTCCCCAGCTCAGGCTTTGCTGCTCTTTGCTCCCAGTGGTCACCTGCATGAGCCCTAGCATTAAGCACGGAGAAGTGGCTGGAGGGCAGCAAGCTGTCTACCGGCCCGGGACCATCATCACCATCCGGTGCCACCCGGGCTACATGCTGCGGGGCAGCCAGGAGCCCAAGTGCCATTCTGATGGCCGCTGGGTCCCTTTTATCCCCAGCTGCGAGCCAGGTGAGAGTGGGCACAGCTGCTGCTGGCTCTGTGGGAAGACAGGAACTGGGCAGCCCTGTATGGGGACAAGGACACACAGGGATCCGTTGCTTTTGCATCATGCAAAATCACTCCAATTTCATTCTCTCCTCACACCCTGCTAGCGCTGCCTTGCCCTCCACCACCCACCATTGCCCATGGCATACACGACGCCAAGCTCGAGACCAACTTCACCAGTGGAATGTCTGTGAACTACAGCTGCCAGCCCGGCTTCTCCCTGCTTGGGGACCCCTCTGTCCGGTGCCTGGAAGGGAGCTGGAGCCTCCCGTACCCACGCTGTGCAGGTGAGGGGAAGGCACAGTGCAGCATGGCATGGCATGCAGCCCCCAAGCTACGCTGTGGAAATTTTGGGGATGAATTTCAATTCCAGCACAATGCTCTCTCGTATCTGAGCCTGCAGATTCCTGTACCCTAAGGCCAATAGCCAATCCCCAAGGATGTGTGGAAGTATAAAACTGGCTAAATTAAGGGTTTTTAAAGACCACATAAATTTCATGCATGCATCCTTCCACGCTAAGAGTTATTCATGTAGATAAATGTCAGAACACAGGATAGAAGAGATGCTACCACCCCCAGGTTGTGTAGTCGAATCTACCAGTGCTCTTGCTTCTCAGCTGTGTTTCACTACCAGCCTAATTCCTCACGTGCTTTTTTTTTTCCTGCAGTTGGATGTGGGACACCGACACTGTTACAGTTTGCTGAGCTAAACAAGGAGTATAAGAATTGGACTGAGTTTCCAGTTGGGACCACAGTGAAATACACCTGCCAGCCAGGATACACCAGACATTCACAGATACCACCCACTATTACGTGCCTTGAAAATCAGACGTGGTCTGAAGCTAAGAAGTTTTGCAGACGTAAGTTTTACAGATGCTTCTTTGTCATTTAAATCACAGTGTGACAATGGAAGCCCTGTAGTTTGCTGGATTTTTTTTTTTGGTTCTCTACCCTGGGGATTTGGTCAGATCCTTGGAATTCCAATGCCACTTTTCCTTTCATGCTGAGTTAAGCTGAAAAACACCTCTTGTTCTGTCCAGGGAGAAGGTGTGATCATCCAGGAGAACCAGAAAATGGCAGAGTTATTGTTATAACAGATCTCCTCTTTGGATCAACTGTGAATTACACTTGCGATGAAGGGTGAGTCCTGGTCAAACTGTGCTGCTGTGCCCACTGAGGAGACCCTGGGCCAAGTGAGCTCAGGTCCGTGCCTTCAAAATGGTTAAAATGGCAGTATGCAGTGGCAAGCAGGGAGGTAATTGGTGGCTGTGGGAGATGCAACCTCCCAAGAGAGTCCCACCGTAACAGGAGCGCTGTTGTTTAACCCCAGGTACAGGCTAGTTGGAGCTTCTCAGCGACACTGCGTGATTTCAGGCTCTGGGACGCGAGTGACGTGGACTGGGGCTGTTCCTGTCTGCCAGAGTAAGTGCACATGGTGGGAGCTGAGCACAGCACAAAGAGATTCAGAGCAGTGCTTTACTTGAGACAGCATGACCACAGGGATGGGTTCACCTGCATCCGTCCCTTCCTGGAAGTGAACGGCCCTGCAGTCCCCAGCACTGCAGCAGCATTGATACTAAAACCCCACATGTGCATCCCACACAGGTATCGTTTGTGACCCACCTCCCGACATCCCGCACGGAACACACAGCGGGCACCTGATGGATGCCTTTCCCTATGCAGCTGTGGTCACATACATGTGTGAGCCTGGCCACGTGCTGGCTGGGACAGCCTCCATCTTTTGCACCACAGTGGATGGGGAGCACGGTGCCTGGAGCGGACCAGCACCACACTGTGGAGGTACAGCTTCATGGGGTCATAGAATGGCTTGAGTTGGAAAGGACCTCAAAGATCATCTAGTTCCAACCCCTCTGTTACAAGCAGGGTTGGAATCCCGCATGGATTCTTTCATTTTTCCATACTTCTTTTTTTTTTTTTTTTTGTATGGATGGACGGCTTTGCCCTCTCTCCCCAGATGTGCAGTGCTCTCAGCCCCCAGGCATTGGCAATGGGAGCCATAGAGGCCAAGGCATGGCAGTGTTTGTCTGTTGTCCATGCCTGTGATCCTGGCTATGTGCTCCTTGGAGCAGTGCTGAATTGTGCTGCTGCTGGAGAGTGGAGTGACTCTGCCCCTGGGTGTAAAGGTGTCTTTGTCATTATGGATATGCCATGGACACAAGGGCATTACAGGAGATGTTGAATTTGCAGCAACTGAGTTCTCTAATAGTAATTGGGAATAGTAAACAGAAAAAAAAAACCAAACACCTTCCTTCCCTGCAGGGCAGCTGTGTCCTTCCCCACCAGTGATTGACCATGGCCAGCATGATGGCATGGACGTGGAGTTTATCCCTGGAATGTCTGTAAATTACAGCTGTGACCCTGGCTATTCTCTTACTGGACCAGCAGCTCTGTACTGCACTGGCAATGCAAGCTGGAGCAGCCCTCAGCCCCGCTGTGAAGGTGAGCTGTCTATGCCATCAGTGCCACGAAAGGGAGGACACCATGGTGTTTCAGCAAGAACCAAGGGCAGAGGGCTGCAGCAGCCTTTGTCAGGAACAGAAGAGCAAATGGGTCAGGATTTAAATCTCCAGACCCCTTAATTCCCTGCATAGCTGCTACTGGAGCCAGCAAACTGCCACTGCACAGAGCCTGGGCTGCACATCAGCCTGCTTCCAGCACACACTGGATGCTGTACTCACTTTGGTGGCACTGTGCATGCATCCTTCCTGCACATTATCCCATTTGTGCTCTTTTTCAGACCTTTTCCTTCTCTTTTTAGTGTTACAGTGTCCTTCACCTCCAAATATTGACGGAGGCAATCATGACAGCCAGGATGTGGAAGTTTTCCTTCCTGGAATGGCTGTGAACTACAGCTGTGATCCTGGCTACAGCCTGCTGGGGGAGGCATCCATTTACTGCACAGAGTCTGGAAACTGGAGCCTGCCCGCTCCTCAGTGTGAAGGTACAGTGGAGGGGCAACGGCTGGAGCCAGGCTGCTTGGGAACCTGTGGAGATGCTGATCACAGAATCACAGAATTGTAGGGGTTGGAAGGGACCTCCAGAGATCATCGAGTCCAACCCCCCCCCCCAAAGCAGGTTCCCTACACCAGCACAATGCATGCATCACCAAGCAATGCTCTGCCTCCTTCCTCAATGGCTCCAAGGAGCTCAAACCTGAAACAAACCCCTCTCATCATACTCTCCATCTGCATTTCAGCTCAGTTTTGCTCTGTACAACGACGACTTTGCGCCCGACGTGCCCAATTTCCCGGCCTGCTGGGGATGCTCTGCTTGCGCACCCAACCTCACCCCACAAAAACACACCCCCTCACCCAAATAACAGGGATAGCTTTTCCTTCCCTGGCTAATTAATTTGCTCTGGGGTTATGGGATGCGTGGAATAAAGCCCTAGAGGGAAAGGCAGCCCTTACTGATGGACACGATCTCTCTGTGTTCTCCTCCCGGCAGGTAGCTGCGGTGTTCCTCCAAGACTCAGCTATGCTGAGCTGGCCAAGGAGCACCAGAACACGACAGCCTTTCCCGTTGGGAGCACAGTGCGCTACGCCTGCCGCCCGGGATTCATGAGACACCCCACAGTGCTGCCAGTTCTGACGTGCCTCAAAAACCACACGTGGTCTGATGTGCGAGCGTTCTGCAAAAGTGAATAGCTCCATCCGTTTGGAAATGAGTCTAAATTTAAACACATGGGTTTCTAAAGAAATTCTTTGGTACAAAAAATGCTTCTTACATGGCTTCACTAGTCACATAGTTTGGACAGCTGTTGGTCTTTTATAAAAATTTTTGCTGGTGTTTGCATGTGGACAGATCCTTCAGATGTTTTCTCGTAGCACACTGTAAAACTGCAGGAGAAGAGTTTAAACTTAGCCTTGTTCTTTCCCAGGGAAAGAATGCAATTATCCTGAAGCACCACAGAATGGCAGAGTTGTTGTTCTGACAGATCTCCTGTTCAGGTCCATCGTGAACTACACATGTGAAGAAGGGTGAGTCCCACGCTGCCTCTGCTGATCCATTTACTGAGCTTGTGTTGGGCAATGTAAAGCGAGGGGGCACAGCACACTGCTCAGCTCGTGCCAGTAAGCCAGGATTGGTACTTTTGGCCCAAGAAGGAGGAACCTGGTTCTTTTCATCCCCACATATCCCACCAAGAGAATTATCCAGAAGCAAGAGAGTGTTCTTGAAGCGCTGGGGTAGTGCAAAGCATGGGGTGCACGCCTTGCTATCAGCTGCTATTGCTTCTGTGTAACTGCAGGTACCGGCTGGTCGGTCAGTCCCTGCGGCGCTGTGAGCTTTCTGGAGCAGATATTGCATGGAGTGGTGATCCTCCCACTTGTCAGAGTAAGTAGGTCGCAACTAAATCTGGTCTAGAATTGCCATATTAAGTCCTGAAAATCAAAAAGTGGCATTTCCTTAAAATAAAGAGAGCCTTGGTGAATAAGACTTTCAAAGAGTATTCCTCTGAGGTTGTTTTGTTTTCCATGCTTGTTTGGTTTCTTCTACAAATTTTCCAGTTGCCAGCTTTTGATCTTTCAGAATTATGTGGAAGGAGGAGTTGTCAGATGCCTGCCAGGATTTGTTCCTTTTGTTTCACAACCACAATAGATGAAGGAAGAAATGTCTCTCGCATGAGCAGAGCTGGGCTGAGATCTTCCACTGCACTGTTATCCAAGCCACAAGACTCTCTTGCAAGGGTTGGTCATGGCAATTAAGATGTGGTCATTCCTGCAGATGGAACTGCCTTGGAAAGCATGAGCTTGGTGCAGTAAAACAGTTGTGAGAATGCCTAACAAAACTTGATTTCTACAACACTTGACATGTTTACTTGGAATGTATGTGCGTTATTTTGTTTATAGGCACAAAATTATGTTTACATATTAAAAACTGTGATAATCCTGTGGTGCATGAAGACACTAAAAAGCCCTTCATTCTTGAAATCATTCTTCTGCGAGTCGCTGAGTTCTGCCTGCACAGCTCTGCTGAGAGTCTGCCCTGGAGCAGTGGCCAGGACGGGCTTTATCTGGGCATCAACTACAGCACATGCTTGCTGCCTCTTTAAGATGATGAATTTCTTTTCCAGAGGTGGTTTGTCCAGTGCCACAGATCCAGAATGGGAGAGTATCCATTCCCAAACAGCGCTACAGATACAAGGATACTGTCAGCTTTCAGTGCCACGAAGGGTTTGTGCTGAAAGGGCATCCCACAGCCCAGTGCAAAGCTGACAAAACATGGGATCCTCCCGTGCCCGTCTGTGAGCAGGGTGAGAAACACTGCAGGATACTCCTGGTTGCTGCTGCCTGTTCTCTGAAGCCACATCTGGCTTTCCCTTTCCTGCCTGCTCTGACTGCTGTAAGGAGAAAGCAGAAGGTGTTCCTTTCACCTATGACTCCTTCCTCACACAGGAGCTAAGCCAGGTTGAGGGCAGTGCAGTAAGTGGGATTTGTGCTTTTCTTCCCTGCTTGTTGCAGTCTGTAGTCCACAAGCGCTTCAATTTCTGATAGACAGAAACTCGGTAGCTGTATGGCAGGATGCTGACTATCAGAGAAGAGGGACTTATTTGCTGGAAATATAAAGGAAGGATGATAGGAAACGAAGGTAAATTTGTGCATTGCGTGTATGCAACCAAATGTGTATTTTCAACTCTTAATGCTGCATCTAGATGCAATTATCATCCTGCTGCTGCAACAAGTCCAGGTAGGTGTTACATGGGAGGCAAGACTTACCAAACCTTAACTGCTCCTCCCACCCGGCCCTTTTTCTTGAGGGGAAGAGGAGTAGTTATCCATTTTACTCCTTTCTTACACAATTGTTTTTCCATAATTAAGCTTCACCATCTTACCTCTCTCCTCTCCTCTTTCAGTGGTAAATTGTCCATCTCCCCCAAGCATCATCAATGGGGAACACAGTAGATTCTCAGACACTTTTGGCGTAGGTGCAATCGTGCATTACCACTGCAAACCTGGCTTCTTCCTCATTGGAAATAAGTCCATCCTCTGCACACCGCATGGGGTCTGGAGCCGTCCCCTACCTCGGTGTGAGGGTATGTTCACACTCTTGTCACTGATTCTCATCTTTCTGAACGTGTTAAGTACGTGCTGATACGTAGCTAAAGAGTTGGTGAAACAAGCTGTTTCTTGAGCAAAATCCACCTAAGGAAAAAATGCATTCTCTGTGGCCAAATGTCCTTATCTGTCCTGCACAAGTTTTCAGGGTAAATAGTTCTCTCTGCCCTCAATTCCACAGCTGGCTGCGTGAGCCCAGGAGTTGGGCATGGAAAAGCTATTGGATCAGAATCTCTCTACATGCCTGGAGACATCATCACAATTGAATGCAACTCTGATAATATCTCAGAAGTCCTCCACAAGTCCCAGTGTCAATCTGGGGGCACATGGTTTCCTCCACTCCCTGCCTGTGACCGAGGTGAGTGCGTGTCACCCATCCTTATACCTGTATTTTCTGACCTTGCACTATTTGTAGCACATGGCAGGATGTTTAGGGGGCAAGAGGAATCCTAGTTTTTAAACCTAAAGATCCATCTACCCTAATTTTTCCCATTCTTATCACTGCATTATAACTGGTGCCTCACTTTCTCAAAATGAACTTAAAACTAAGCTCAGCCTGGTTTTGTCAGATGTAAGGGACCTGTATGGATACTGCTGTAAAACGGTCTTACAAGTGTGCAGTTCTCATCATATACACCAGCTAATCACTCTTCTTATCCAATGCATCAGGGAAGATGATGCTGGGCAGCGCTCCTTTGTGTCAGAAGAAATTGGTGTGACACCAAGTCAGATGCTGTAGGGTAAAGTGGGTGCATGAGGTTGGGCAGTGGGCTCTGTGCATTAGTGTCAGTGGTGTGGAGGTGGGCATACAGCCATGTGCAGATGCTTGGAGGTTCTCCTCTTGCCTCCAAGAGTGCTTTTTAATCTGTACTTCTCTCTCCTTAGTGCTGCACTGTTCCAAGCCCCCAGATATTCTCCATGGGGGTCACAGTGGCCTGGGAAAAGCAGTTTTCCCTCCTGGAACATCTGTGAACTACAGCTGTGAGACTGGCTTCTCCCTCGTTGGGATGGCATCCATTTACTGTACAGAGTCCGGAGCCTGGAGCCATCCTTTCCCTGTCTGCCAAGGTGTGTCTTTGTTGCAGAGAGCTAAGAAGAAAGTTTAATACATAATGTGCCTGAGGGCAAGATTTCTATAAGGACTACATCTGAGTCCTTTACTACGAAATGAGTGATGAGAACAAGATAAAGTTTATCCATGTTCACAAAACCCGGTGGAGTTCCAGAGCTAAGGAATCAATTGTTGAAACTAGACGAAGAAATGGAAAGAGCAAGGCTGCAAGAGTACAGGGCCTTAGCTGTTCTCTGGCTGTCTGTGAGGATTCTTACTTCAACACTGTCATCTGTCTCTCCCTGACTTCCAGTCGTGAAGTGCCTCCACCCTCCAGCTATCACCAATGGGAAGCTCCAAGGCAACACTTCAGACACTTTTTTCTATGGAGCATCTGTGTCCTACAGCTGTGATTCTGGCTATTCACTCAGTGGGGATGCTTTCATCACCTGCACAGCGTCAGGAACCTGGAGCCATCCTCCTCCTCAATGCAAAGGTGTGTGTGTGTGAGATACGTGGGCCAAAATCTAAGCAGTAAAACATTCTGCTGCTGCTAACATCGAATTCCACCCATTTATTTGCCTTGGGAACCATTTCCACATCACAGCTAGTGATGTCAATTACTAATTGGCCTTTATTTGTATATAACTGGAAGAGTATAAAATCCTGATAAAGAAGTAAGATGGGATCTACTTTATGATACCAGGTAGAAGGATATGAGTACAGTGGAGGAAATTCGGGAAGGCCAATTTTAATTCCCACATGTTCTGCATCTCTGCCTTTGTTGGTATGAATTTGCTGCATATTAACATTTCTCCCTTAAAAGCTTTTTCTCCTTGAGGAGTAGAAACATTCTCGCTTTCCCTTTCCACTCCCTGTTATCACTAGCAGGAAACAGGAAGTGATTACATCTGATGACTTTTCTCTGACAGATTACCTGTAGTTTACAAGTGAGTCTTACTACTCCTTTCATGGGAAGTGTCTCTACTTCTGTGACTTGGCACTTCTGCGTAGCACACGGTTAATTTCAGTCATCAGGCAAACGTGACTCATGGCCCTTTCACAAATGCAGCAGGATTTCTAGTGTGGGTGTTCCTGCATGGAAAACTGGGTGTTCAGCAGAATGAATTCACAGGGCATTTCCTTGGTGGAACTGTACAACATCGGTGACTCAATAGAAATGCACCTGGATAACAATACGAGGAAATAACACACCAAATACTTACATAAATAAGCCAGCAGATATTTAAAAGAAACAGAGTCACAAAAGAATTCTCCCTGTTATTCAACATTCTCATGTTCTTTTGTTGTCCTTAGAAACTATTATGCGTGGTTGTAAAAATAAATTAGCCATGATATAATGGTCAGAATTTACATGCTGGTGTTACTTACTCTGGTCTCCACTGACAATTTTCTCCTCTAGAATCCTTGGGCTTGGACTGTAAAAGGTGATCAAACAGACCTGATACACCACTCTTCTCAAATGTCTTGCTAGCCCAGCAACAGAAAATCTCTTTCTCTGGCAATGCTCCTTCCAGGCTACTGTTCTCATGGGGGTAACCAGTGGGAAGAAGCTAACTTGTATAAACCCCTACATGGTGGCAGAAGACACAAAGCTCCTTTTGTAGCCACGAAGAAATGAATCACATTTGGGAATTATTCAAAAAGAACTCAAGAACAATGCCTTAAATAACCCACGCTTCTACTTTCCATACCTTACATTCCCTCACACTTAACGTTCCTTTTTTATTACTTCTAATTTCAGAGATCAGTTGTGTATTCCCAGAAGTTCAAGGTGTTAAGAAAACCGCGTCTGGGAAAACGTACAGAATTGGGACTAACATCACTCTTGAATGTGATGATGGGTACACGTTGGAAGGCCTCAGTCAGATTCAGTGCCAGGAGGACTTCAGCTGGGACCCTCCTGTGCCAGCCTGTAAACTCAGTAAGTGAAATGTAAATCAAGCAAAGAACAAAGAGAAAAATGCAAGTGCAGAGGTTCATTCTTGTCTGCAAACTGTCTGTACGACGTGCTCCCAAGGCCTCTTAGGTCTGTTTAAAGCTGATTTTACCATGGCAGTAGAAAATAACAAACAAAAATAGCTATTTTTATCAGGTTAGTTTAGACACTATTTTCCACAGTCTTTCTGCAGTTCAGGGCTTCTGTTTTCCTGGTAACGCTATCATTGCTGTCCATTTCCCTTTCAAACATGTAAGTGACTTTCTATTAAATACATATACATATAAATAATGGAACATCTTTTTAAAATTCTGCATTGTCAGCCTAACCAGTAAAAGCTTTATCAATGAAGTGCCTAAAAACCGTTGAGGAACACCATATTTTATTTTAGAACTGTTTACTGATTATTGCTTTTCTCTTCTTTCAGCTTCACCCAGGTCTGGTTCAGTAGGGCTAGGTAAGCAGCTCAGAAGAATTTCTGTGGTCAGATCTTTGGCTTTGTAGCCTCAGATTCACTATTTTCCTCTTCTTCCTCGAAGATATGCTTATTATCTTGTGCCGATGGGTTTTAAAACACACAGTGCAAATAATACGCTCTCTTTCCTTTCAGGAATCGCAGCTGCAGTCGTTCTGCTTCTCCTGGGTGTGACCATCGGCTGGAAAATTATCTCTAAGCAGAAGGAAGGGTGAGACATCCTGTTGGGTATCCATTCACATTTTTCTTTGCCCAGTTATGACTTCTATACAGTCAAAACCCCAGAATGAGGAGGGTAGGTCTTTCAGTTTGGTATTTTGAGCTTTAAGTTGCCAGCTGTACTGAGTGCATCAACTTGGAGTCAATTGTGTGGTTGTGTTTTGCTTCACTTCCAAGATTCTTCCTAAGGGGAAATCTGAGCGTTCATTATGAACTGACATAGTTCACTGTGCTTTTTCATGCAGCTTCTACCGCACGTATGAAAATGACAACCACAAAACCTCTCTGGATTAGATGGCAGAACAGAAATGTTTACGTCTTGCATGGCAGGTATGGATTAACACGAAATATCTGCTACAGCTAGGAATTTGAGTTGTCCCACTATAATCCTTCCAGCTGAAAACTCTTTCCACCCAAACTTCTGGTACAAGACCGCACAACCTCAGCTGTCAACTTATCCATTCTCCGGCAAAGGCAGCTTTGCAATCATTTCCTCTTTGAAAAACAAAAAAGCATTACCCAAGAGAGCAGGCCCTCCTCCCTTCCTAAGCAATGATATGATAAACACTGGTATGAAAGCTTGAGGAAAGCTAATTTTCGCATTGTTAATTGCTTTCTCCCCAGGCTGAGCCCGGTGCTGCCCATAACCGGCATTCGAGGCGTTCCCCCACGTTGGGACTGAACCAAGAAAGCACTTCAACCCAAATCAACCTTCATGCTCCTCCTGCTCCATTCATTAAAGCACTGTAAGGGCCGAACGAAGCTCCTGCTGTACAGAAGCCCATCAGAGGACGTCCCGCACTGCTCCTCCTCCTGTCTGCAAACCCTGAGCTGAGGGAGAACCGCAGCGCTGCTGTAATAAAGCCTGAAGGCAGGACGGCAGCTCTGTGTCTCTTTTTGCGCCCACCTCGACAGCTCCGCGTTATTAAACAGCGCAAGGCGAGCAGCCCGTCTTTCTGAGGAAAGCACAAAAGCCCCCACGCAGCCGTTTGATATTTTATTTGCTTTTTTTTTTTTTTTTTTTTTTTTTTTTTTTTTTTCCAATCAGTCTTTGTTCGCCTGGGCTGCACCACAGACCGGGCTTTGAAGCCGTTCCGTCAGCCGGAAGGAGGCTGGGCGGGCCCTGCCTAACAAAAAGCCCGCTCCACCGGCTCGGAGCCGCCGTTCTCACGCGCTGCCCTCAGCCCGGTGGCCGCTCCGCCCTAACGAGGGGGCCGGGCGCAAAATGGCGGCCTCCGTTTCACCGAGCGGACGGATGCGCAGCGCGCATGCGCAGCGCTCGGCGCGCCGTCGCCCGAGAGAGGGACGCGGAGCCGCGGGCATGGTGGCGGGCGCGCTCGGGATCGCGGTGTTGTTGGCGGGGCTCTGTGCGGCTCGGGCGCAGGGTGAGCGACGGGAGCGGTGATTTGTGGGGTGGGGGTCGGTGAGGGGCTTCGCGTGCCCGGTGGGGGCGGGGAGCTGCAGCGGCGGCTGGAGGAGAGCGGGCGGCCTGTGGGGATCGAGGAGACAAAGGGAGCGGCCGCAGCGCGGGGTTGGGTCGTTGTGGCGCTGGGAGGACGAAAGTTGGTTGTTATATTATGGGTTTGGGGGCTTTTTTTTGGTGTGTGTGGTGTTATTTTGCGCGAGGGGAGGAGCTCCTTTGTGTTCGTTGTTTGCTTTTGCTGCTGTAAGGTGAAGAGGAACGGTGCTCGGCGCGGATTGTGTCATAAACTTAATCAAAAACAGGAAAAAATAGGAACTAGAAATTGGTGTGTTTTTGAGGTAGAACGCTAAAGAGCAACCGAGCAGAGCAGCAATGAACCTGCACCGGTGTGGAGTGGGCGCTGGGTGTGATCAGGGTGGGAACTGGAAACCCAAAACCTTAAGGACTGTAAAAACAGTGCTGGCTTTTAAGAACTTTATTACTTTGTGCAGGTGCCCAGACTGCATGGGGCTCTGGGCAGCGCGGTCTGGTTGGGCACCCCATGTGGGCTTTAAGGTCTCTCCTTTGATTTGTTTGCATTAACATCCTTCAAACCCACTGCACTGCCCTTGCTTTGCCTCCGCTTGTATCTCCTCGTGCTGATAAATATTGTTTCCTTCCTTCCCCACGCTCCTGCAGAATCCTGCACGCTTCCAGACAACGTTCAGTATGCAGAGCTCATGGAGGACTTCAGCACGATGAGCAGCTTTCCTGTTGGAACCACTGTGAAGTACACCTGTCGCCCTGGCTATATGAGGATCCCTGGGATGCCTGTTGATCGAACGTGCGGCGAAAACTTGACGTGGTCACAAATAGAGACGTTCTGTACAGGTAATGTGTGTGCGTGGCCTTATAGTGGAAATGTTATGGCCTCAAGCAGTGATTGAGCACCTGGTGGGAAGGCAGGGCCAGCCCAGGGGAGCTCAGGTGCATGCAGTGCATCTGAGTGACTGGAAGAGGTGGGGTCAGGATCCAACTCCTCCCAAACCTCATTTAGGGGTTGGTAGTGGGGGTGAGGGCATCCCTTGAGATGCCATGCTGGAGATCCCTGCCTGCCTGCCTGAGGCTTTCCAAAGGTAAGCAGCTCTTCTTCATTTCTCTATTCATGGCTGCTGATTTGGACTCGTTCTCATTTGCTGTAGCCAGAGGTTTTGCCACTCTGCTCTTACCATCTCATTATAGCATTATAGACCTCTTGCTTTTTTTTTATTATTATTATTCTAATTTGTTTTTCCTTTGTTGTTTAACAATTTCAGTTGGTGTTGAGTGAGATTAATTTTCTGCATAATTTAAAATGAAGCTTGAAAAGTTCTAGTGACTTTAAGGGCACCGTGTCTTTGTATGTAGCTACAAAGATATAGGCTTGTTCTTTTTTTTTTCTTTTTTTTTTTTCTTTCCCCAGCAAAAAGATGTATTCATCCTGGAGAATTAGAACATGGCTTTGTTAATGTGACAGATCTTACATTTGGTTCAGCAGCTACTTTTTCTTGTGAAAAAGGGTAAGTGTTGGTTTTTTGGTGTTTTTTTTTTTTTTTCCTGTTTAGACCTGATTTGAACCAAACCCAAACTGAGGTTCTTGAGTTATAGCAGGACAAATCACAGCAAAATTTGCTTTGATTCCCTGGTTTTACTCGCATCAAATTAGGTGTATATAATAAAGTGCTTAGCAAAACTTTGTCTGTGTTACCTCTAACAATTTCTTTCTTTACTGTCTCTGTGGCACAGGAATTAAGTGTATATTCATTGCACTTCATTATTACATTGTGTAGCAGCCTGTTTGTCTGTGTGTAGCAAATCAACTCAAAAGCATTAAAACCCCTCACAGGATATTTTTTTTCTTTCTCTTCAGGTTTTCTTTAACATTGGTGACTTGATGGTATTAGGTGCGTGTCTGTGAAGGCAGAGGTTCTGTCTGTTTCTTTAGTGATGTCTCATTTGCTTCTCTCATTCTCAAAGCTGAGTCTATTAACAAAATAGCTCTGGAGATAACATTCTCACCATGAGAGAAGCATGGTGTGTCGTGTCTACGTAGTCACAGAACAGAATTATGTAAACAAGATTTCTAGCTGCTTCCTGGAGAAATGAATGTTATGAAGTTTCACCTCTTTGAATGTTTTCATCTGTCTAGGTACAGGTTATATGGAAATAGTCAAATTTCCTGTGTAATTAAAGGTAAAGATGTTGACTGGAATGGAGGACTTCCTATCTGTGATAGTAAGTAAAGTACTGCTGTATTTATGCTTTGTACTCAGACAGTGGTAGTTTATTTTATCATATAGCTGTGTGCTGTACATTCACTGGTGGAAGAAATGATGGTAAAATGGGGCAACACTTAAATTTTTTTTTCTTGAGCTACTGGGGATGTGCCTGAGGAATTGGCACTGAAAAGTGTCAGTTACTGTTGTAGTAAGTTAATAGCTATTAAAGTCTACCTATTCTTGTTACAAATGACCACAGGTCTTTCTCAGGTAGAGCTAAGACAAGTTACAGCTCTGTGTTGGATTTTTAAGTGCAGTGACTTGAAAATCAAAGCTTTTTACTTACAGGAGCAAAATTCTCTTAGCTAACTTTTATGATTTCATTCTAGAGGTTCCTTGTGCTCCTCCTCCAAGTATTGCCAACGGGCACTACACTGAAGCAGACAACTATGTTTATCAAACAGCAGTAACCTATAGCTGTAATGATGTCCAGAAAGGAGAAGATCCCTTCTCGCTGGTTGGTTCACCTTCTATTTTCTGCACAGTTGATGAGAACTCAAATGGTGTTTGGAGTGGACCACCTCCACAATGTAAAGGTTGTTTGTTTCTCAAATATAAATATCTCTTATAGGACTCAGATTTCAATATCTGCCTCTTTTGGAACTGGGGAGCTGAGGGGATGGATGGTTTTCCCTACAGGGGAGGAGGAACTTTGTCTTCTGCTGGTGTAAATTGATTAAGTCGCAGTGCACCTCAGATCAGCTGCATTGTGGATATTGGAGTATGATATACAGGCTGGCTTAGGACTTGAATTAATACTTAAAAAGTAAAATAGGAGCACGCAGTTGGTAGAAGTGGCAAGGACAAAGTGAAGGAGCTGAGCTGGAGTACCTAATAAAAGCATGTGTGAACAACCACCGTGCTAGTGCAGAAATAAGAGTAAAGTTTAGCAAGCATGTGGTGTTGTTTTGTGTTTGCAGGGAGAAAACCGGATGCTTTCATCTTGTCACTTGAATGCTAACCAAAATAATTGAGTTGTCTGAAATTCTGCTGCTGTGTAGGAAGAATTAGGTGGGTTGGAAGTGGGACGTGCTTTTAGTTGACTGTATACTGTTGCAAGTCAATGGCTTAAATCATAGGCAATCTGGGATTGGAGAGAGCAGGGTTCTTGGGCAACCCCGTCCAAACAGTTAAAGGAATTAAGAAACTTTGTTACAAGTATTAAAAGTGCTGCGACTGCTGTGAAGATACTGTTAACAAATGTTTCAAAGCTTCTTTTCCTCTTATGTGTTTCAGTGGTTGTCTGTGAAAACCCAGATGTAGAAAATGGAAGGAAATTATCTGGGTTTGCATCTCACTATACCTATGGGAGCACAGTTATGTTTGAATGTGATCCAGACTATGTCTTGTTTGGGAAGGATGTAATTACTTGTCAAGAAAATAGCACCTGGTATCCATCAATACCAACTTGTAGAAAAAGTAAGTTTTTATATAGGAATCCAACTTTTCTTGTATGTTGAGAGTGTTGTTAAATCTTAGCTATCATCTAAAGCAATCACACTAGCTGAAAGTCAGAAGCTAAGGAAGTTGACATTGAGCCTCATCATGACAGCTGTTCCAGGTGTTCGTGTGACTTCAGTCCTAGCAGTGTTTGGATGAGAATGAGTTGAATTTTAGGCATAGAAGCTGTGGCACGGGCATAGTGTGGTGTTACTGCACTGTAATGGCATCCTTTGTTCAAGTGATATCATGAAGAAATGAGGATGATAGATGTGCATTTTGGAGTCTTGATAGAATGTACGAGGGTTGTGCATAGCAGAGAGATCAGTAGGGTCCTTCCTGTGTACTCAGAATCATGATGTGTCTGGATCTGTGCTCGTGTCTAGCTCTTCAGCTCTAGCTTTCCAGGCATCAGAATGCTTGTAGGTTTTTGACCAAGCAAATTGTTATTAGGCCTAATTCACAGGGGCCATTGAAGAGCATTTTCTGCAGTCTTCCTCCTCCCACTGTGCTGGAGGGGCAGGGAATGTGGCTGCGGAATATGGTCAGAATTTCATGTATGTGTGTTCTAATGATATTCTCTCAAGAATGAGAGCTACTTCTACAAAGGATGTGCTTGAGTGCTTCGTAATGGATGAGTCTATAAGGCACCCGAGAATGATTCGTATGAAAAGCAATAAACCAGAGATTACAGACATCTCAGGTGCTGTATCATCATGCTACACTCATGGAGTGATGCTGCTTTTAAATCTTCCATAGAAAACATTTACACTTAAAATTATGGTAAAGGTAGAGGAGAAGCTCTAACAATTCAGGTACACTAATAGCACTGTATTATACAAAAGCAGTGTGTGCTTAGAGAGCTAATGAATTATAAAACATTTAAAGCTTCTTATTGCTGCATTTGCTTTTGAATTTATGTTTTAGTTAGTGAAGATTCGTGTGGTGCCCCAAAGATCTCCCATGGAGAAGTGGTTCCACCAAAATCTGTGTACTTAAGAGGAGAGTCTGTTCAGATAAGGTGCATTCCTCACTGTGCTTTTCCTGATGGTGGTACAGAGGTCACAGTAATGTGCCAAGGACAAAACACGTGGAGTTCTGAACCAAACTGTGCATGTGAGTAGAATTCATAATTAGGAAAATCAAGTGACAAGTTGGAAATGTCTGATGTAGTGCTTGAGCCCTGAAGGTCAGAGGCCTGTCAGCATGCCCAGCTGGTCACAGGTTATGTTAACAGGCTGTGAGTGCCATGGGTTGGGATTTGAGGAACTGTGCAATTTTGTGCCAAGCTGGAGTCCTCCTTTAGTCTTAGTTTTGTGTGTAGAAATGAACACAACTCGAGAGCTGATTTGAAAGCACTCCCACAACAGGTCTTTCTGAACATTCTGCCTTTCTAGGTGACAGACTTCATCTTTTTTTTTTTCCTTTGCATGATGTGATCACTGGTAATATGAACAGAAAGATTTCATCATTACTTTGATGCAACTCTGTATCCCAGTGAAGCTGAGGTGTGTGTTTCTGCTCATGCATCTGCAGCATGTCCATCAGCATACATTTTTGCTGCCTCTGGGCAGCAGGAAGCCTTTGCATGTAATGTCTTAATGATGAACTGAGCTTCTGATATTTACATGAATGTAGGGACTTCTTGATGGCAACTTCTTTAATCTGTGCCATGTATCAGCTCTGTTCTCAGACTTCTTTTTTTTTTTTTTCCTCACTTCCAAAATATTTCCTTTCTAGGTGGTCCTGAACCTTCTGATTCCTCTCCAGTCATCAGCCATGGTAGAATAATTGAAGGGAAAAAATCTGTGTATTCCATAGGGGATTCAGTTACAATTGAATGTTATGCAGGCTACACATTGCATGGTGCAGCTCGTATTGAGTATATTGGAGAAGGCAGATGGAGTCCAGAAGTGCCAATCTGCAAGTTAAGTAAGTATGAACTGCAAGCATTTCCAATAGAATATTTATTACTTGGGGATGTGCTTTTATATTCAGAAGTCCCTTATTGCAAACTTCTATCTTTATTTTGGTGTAAGAAAGGTAGATTTGGGTAAACATGCTTTTAATAATTGGCATACTTAAAATTGCTGTGCAAAGCTGACCTGCTGCAAGGATCATCTTGACAAGTGTTTGATTCATTTGAGACACCCTCATGAGTACTTATATGGTGCTTTTGGTTAAGAAGCATGCAGTCCTCATAATACTCATCTACTCTGTTTTTAGGTGCTTATATCATTGCCATCATCTGTGGTAAGTATCATATCATTCCTGAATGATGTACGACGTGGTGTTTGTTTTTCATGTGCAGTTGATATTGTGGTCATCACCTGGGACTAATAGGAGCTGTGTCTGCAGTTCTGCTTGCTTTAAAAATGCTTGTCTGCTCCTAAAGTCAAGCTTTCTACCACCACTTCTTTATAAGTTCATTCCAAAAAAGCAATGAGTGTTGTGAGCTGCAGTGATAGTCCTGAGCTGGTGGTGTTTTGCCATCGTGGTGATCTCTGTTCTTGAGCTGAACTCTGCTGAAGAGTCTTGAGTATCAAATATGTAATTGGGAATTAAACCGTGTGAATTTTTGAGCATTGGAAGAGGAGGATGCTGTGTAGGATTCTGGGTGTAGACAGCGTTGATTTTTGAGGAAATCTTTCTTATGGGCTGTTGACTATCACTCTAAGGCTTCTTTTTAATTCTTCCTCAAGTGATCGTGGCAGTTCTGGTGTTCCTGGCAGCCTTCTGGATCTTTAAGAAATTCATTTCACAGGAAGGGTAAGTAAGCCTTTTTTACTGGCAATTTCTGTGTGACAGCAAAAGCAGTGCTAACATATGTAGTTGCTTAAGCTTTATCTGCCTCTTCTTTTTTCAATTGTGTGATGTCTGTATGTGAGCTTAGCAGCTGAAGTACCTAACAGCATATTTGACTGTTTCCTTATCTGTTACTTAAATAAGATGCTAACTATCATTCCTGCCATTTTAAAGGATGGAGAAGCACTGTCCTTAGGCTTGTCTTTAAGAAAAGTACACTTAGCAGTGTTCACATCTGCTCCAAAACCTGCCATTTTGTATCTTAAACCAGTGGTACTATTGGTTTATTTTGGCTTCACCTGCTTTATTTTATTTTATTTTATTTTATTTTATTTTGCCTGGATAAGCACCTGGTGTCACTAAGGAAAATCTCCTTAGGCTTTAAAAGCCAGAGTGGTTTAGGTGATCTGGAAGCCTTGCAAGTGAGCTTCCTTGCTTCTGCATGAAATGTAGCAATAGTAGTGAAGGGAAACAAGACTACTGCTGTGTTTTGGTCTAGAAACAGCTTGGATAAAACACTGTGGACTTAATTGAGCCTTCTCCTTGTAATTATACTGACCTAAATGGTCCTGTAGTCTTTGAACAAATAGCAGGCATTGCTACTAGAGCGTATGATGTGTAGGTAGACTTCAGTTCTGTTGTTTGCAGTAGCAGTGTTTGTTATCTTTACATTACAGACTGTATGAGATTGGGTGCACAAATAGTGGATTTTGTTTCTTTATGAAGCATGCATTGCATTTTGAACTTTCTTTTCAGAGTAACTGGTTATAATGCTTTTTTGGTAGGGAATTGGCAGGAGGATTAAATGCTTTGTGCATTGCTTGTAGTGATGTCTTGTTTTTAACCTTCTCAGAAGAAAATACTGTTTTTCTTGGAGAAGCACTTTGTAACAGACAAAATACTGAAAGCTTAGGGCAGGTCAGGTGGAGCAGTGTTACAATATACACCTCACCAAAGCTCACTTAAATTTCAGTAGATTTAATTAAAAAAACTGAATAAATGTGGGGTTTGTGAGACAAAGGGATGCTTTCAGTCAGGCTAACCAGAGGAAATACTCCTGTAGTTCATATTTGTAGTGAAGTACATGTGGTGCTACTTGGGACGAGCCCGAAGCTAGCTCACACCCAGTGATGTTTTAGTGGAATTATCCTCCCCATGGGGAGCATGGCATCTTTTCAGTGACCCAGTGGCTGGGGCTGTGCTGCAAAGTAATGCAGTGCTTTTGATTAATTGCTTTTTGTCCAGCGCTGGGATGATTTGCGACCTGGATAACCCTGATGCAGTCTAGTACTACTATGGCAGCACTTCCTGCCTTCATCTGTGAGGAAACTGCTCAGTGTAGAAAAAGAAGAAGGGATCTAAAGGAAATGCTTCAAAAAGCAGAACAAAATAATGCTGTATTCCTGGAAATCCCATGCCATCTCACTGCGCCCTGTGCTTTCCTTCAGCTTCATTGCTGTGAGCGCCTGACTGTTAAATCCCATTCTTGTCTGAAAGCCCAATCTAATCTCCTTCTGCTAGGGCCCAGAGCTCACTCGTTTTCTGGATTCCTGAAACAGCTGAGCCTTTCTGAACCACTCTGCTTCCAGTATCTCATATTGTACCTTGGCTGTGTTTGTCTTCAGCATACAGCAAAAGCTGTGTCTTGCCCTTTGCTGCTTCTATGTTCAGTCTGTCGGTTTCATAGGATATTCAATTAGACCTTTTTCCCCTTTTACTGTTCAGCTCATATACAGTTGATGAGAGTTGCAAGAAAACATGTATTTTAAAAGCAAATACACCAGCTGAGATGGAAGAACTGTACAAATGAATTAATTGAATCTTGAAAAGGTATACCCTTCCCACTTCATTTGGGCATTTGCATTAAGCTTAAGTGTCTTTTCTTTATGGTTTACCCTGAATTTTAGAAATATGGAATGCAGTGAACCTCAGTTTCCTATAGAAAAAGCAGTAAGAAGCATTCATTCATTTCCTCCCTTCAGAGGAAACCAAATTATGTGTCTTTTCTGCAATGAGCTCTTTCCAAAATCTGGCTCTTTGAGCCGTGCTGCTGCAGGACAGATGTAAGACAGAAGAGATGGACTTGACTCTTCCTCGTCAGTATTTTGTTGTTACTGTTCTTAGTGGTTTGAATTTGCCCAAGAAATGTTTTTGCAAACTTGTATCTGTGTTGCTTTTCCCCATGGCACAAATTCTGTAAAGGTAATGACTGAAACGTTAGGTTTCTTACTCTGACTTGAATCCTTTTCAAAGGAACAGTCCTGTATTTTATTTAGTTATTAAATAACGAGTGACTTCTGAGTATTTTTGATAAGCTTGAGAAGGCAGATATGGAATTAAGCTTACGTTGATTCCATAAGTGTGTGTTAGTGAATAGCATCTTTGTCTCTGAAATAAGGTGCTCCTAATTGAGAATTAGTTTTCTGGCATCAGTTTTCTGGGTTGGTTGGCCTTACTTGTGGGGAGAGGAGTTGGGAATTCTCCCTGTCGCGAGCAAAAAGGGGGGATTGGAAATAAGGGAAATAATGTTCTGATAAAGCTCCCAAGGCTTTGTACAGCATCTAAAACTCCACGGGGACCTCAAGTAACGGTGCGGATGTTTGTTGGCTTTGGTTTGCTTGTTAGGTTGCTGTGAAGGAAAAGCTGTGCTATTCAAGAGTTTGAAAATGGATGTGGGTTTCAGTGGTCATGGCTGTGATCATAAATTTATTACCCTCTTGTGTTTAAGTACTGCACACTTTCCACAGTGAGCTACAGAATCAAATTTTCACTAATGCTTGGCTTCTGGCTATGAAATACATACTAACCATCAGAGTGCATATAAAACACATGGGTTGCTCACAATGTAGCCTCCAAGTGAGGTAGGAATCCTGTAACTGCTCAGTCTGTGCTCAGCTGCTGGTAATATTCTGGCATGGTTTCTTCATCGCTTGAAATGGTCCACTTGGATCAAATCCTCTCCTAATCCTTGGGTCGTTCTTTGCGCTCCAGAGCCTGAAACTGGAGCCAAAATCTCACTAAGTGTATTGGTTGCTTAGGAGGAAGCAGACAAATGAGTTAGTTCCACGATTTCACCTGATGATTCAACGCTACATCTGAGGATGTGCTTCCAGAATAAATGTAAGAGCTATTTAAATGTGAAATCCCTGATTTGACTTATTTTTCTGTTTGTAGGAAGAGTGACAGCACTCCACATACTGCCAAATACACGAGCTGTAAAGCATGAATGACTCTTTCTGAGGGTGGGAGGGAATTTGCAGTTGGATGTGCCTATCAGAAACGAAAATGAGCGCGCTTATTTGCCTACGGAAACCTAACATACCTCACCCTGTGCTTTATGCTATTGGTTAACTGTAATAGGGAATAGGAGGATAAGAAAAAGAGCAGACAATTCTGATGTTTTGCTCTGGGTCATTCACTGTCTCCTCTGTGTATCTAACATGGACTTAGAGGCTCTTCCTGCAGCACACATCGCTGTCTGTCGGCCGGAGCACTTGCAGAAGACGGTCCAATGTTAGCACTCAATTTCTCAATCGCTTTTGCAGTTGAGGTGGTGTAAATGTCATCTCTAATGTTCTGAAATGTTTTAAGTCTTCATTCTTCTGAAAGAGATTGGTGCAATGTGAGGCTGTGTCTGTTTGAAATAGTTGCAATTTAGATCTTGTATCTGCTGCTTTCTTGTTTGCCAAAGTTGATTCTGTATATCTGATGAATTAAAATGTGCCTTTGAATCAGAGTTTTAGCTTTTATAATGCCTTCAGGAAGGAAAAAAAGACCTTTGGTATAATCCCAAAGGAGCTGTAGTGGTCTTGTTGCACTGGGGAAGTGATGGTTTCCCTAGCAGGGGTATCTCCTGTGTTTGTATTTATTGGCCTGTTGGCAGAAGGAAATCAACCAAAACCTGCTGAGAATCTGTGTGCCCATCCTTGGGATGTCTGATGTTATTATGATTTTTACTTTGAATCTCGATGTCCATTTCAGAGACAGTTATGTTGCTTTTCAGAATGAAATGCTTCCGTATGAGTTTAGCTGAGCTGAGCGAGGACGGGTCTTGGCTTTGTGGGTTTGCTGCCAACATGCAGGCAGCTTCTATGCGCCCATTTTCCCAGAAGGAGCAAGTCACCTGGCATCAGGTGGCCGAGGCATTGACTGGGCTGGATTGGCACTGCTATTGGGAATGGGTTGTTTCAACAGCACAGAATTAGTTGGGGTTTCGTTGGGATGCTCCCAGCGGTTGTTTTTGAGCGCTCCTAATGGCCTCCAGTCCTGAAGAAGGGGTTCTGGCTGTGCAGAAGTGCTTGCTGTTCACAGCCTCTCCAATAGCTGATGCTTAGTTTGCCAATTGCTTGTAAATACTGTGAAAATATAATATACTGAGAATTGAGTGTTGCGCATTAGCTGGCTTGTGTGTGGCATTTCCAATATCTCGCAATATACTGAAATAGACCGAAAGCTTGAGTGAAATGACTGTATAAATTTGGCTTTATTTTTATATTTTTATGAATGTAAAGATGAGTGGTGGCTTGTATTATTATAAATAAAGATATTATTTGGCAGTAAGTGTTTGTCTTTCATTTGTTGTGTGGCGGTCAGCTGTGTTCTGTTTTCCTAGAGGAGAACGTGAGTTGGGTACATGAAAAGTCAGGTGTGAGGTTTGTGCTCCAAACGTACTCTTGTTTCTGCACAGAAATGCGTAGTCAGCTGCCTCAAGGTGCAACCTGTCAGAGGAAGGGCTAGAAAAGTAGCTAGTGTGCTTTATTTTGTAATTCGTGATTGTTATTATCTGCTATAGACTGGAGCACTTGAACGTGATGCTAGCAGAGAGGCTGGCTGTGATGAAAGCATCGTGTTGTTGCCATCTGCTGGTGTGTCAGTGGTTGGTAGTTGTCCACATTACCAAAATCAGCATTAGTGCTGACTGCTGAGCGTAGGGTGTGTGATGTGCAAAGGGAGCTGGGGCTGAAATGAGACTCAAAGAGATTGGATGTTGTCTAGCAGGGAACCACGTCATCTGTCTACCTGAGACAGAGCCTGATCCCAAGCAGCACACAATTTTATTTGAAAGAAGAAGCTGTGAGTAAAGAACAATTTTAAGGCAGACAAATGGGATACAGCGGGCAGGAGGGAGGCTGGCTGTGCTGCTGTGCGTGAGTCCTGACTTGCTCGAGGTGAGGGACCTCAGCTGGGTGTCAGAGCAGATGCTCCGCTTTCCCCTTAAGCGTCCCATGGTGCTGAGTGTCCTCCTGTGCTGCAGGATGGTCGGTCAGAGGTGTAACTTCGGCTCAGAGAACAGGAGAGCACGCAGGATGTTTGGGAAACAAGGTCGTGCTTCTGCTGGTGTTTGTTTATAAGGACTCTGGGGCTGGGGGGAATGAAGTTTTCCATTATTGTTGCTTTTCCCCCTACATCATAACCGATTTCAAATGGTGCTAGACAGAAACTGAGACTCTGAACACCAAGAGAAATCGGTCAGCCTGTGTAAGAGACATTTTTCTGGCTCAGAGAAGATCCTCTTGCAGATGACAGCTATGCATTCTTTAAAGAAGACTATTCAGTGCTCTATTGAGTGCTTCATCCTCAGCAATCGCCCTTTCTGTGTATGTAAATGTGTTTGACAACAGCGAGATCAGGCAAAAGTAGTTTAGTTTGGCTTCATTTTTGTAGTTTGGATGCAGAAAAATAAATGTCTAGCAAAACATTACTGGAAGGGAGCAGCAATAAGCTCCAAAGAAAGTAATTTTAGGAAAAGGAGTGGATTCTGTGTGCATCAGAGTGATTTCATCACTGTTATTGAAGGCACGTGTGGGTTTGTTGACTGTTGAGATCAAACTGTCAGGGGGAGCTTCTGTGTTTGCAGAACAAGTCCTTGGAAGCTACAGAATGGTAATGCTACAATGAGAAGATCCCAGAGCACACAGATAAGGTACATTTGCTCCAAGTTAGTAAATTAAATGCTAGCTTCTTAGTGACTGGGTAGGAGGAGAAATGTACTCTTTGCCTGTCAGGGTGTAAGAAGCACATTGCTGGTTTCCATGCAACTTTTGGATGATTTTACTCTGAACAACTCGAACTCGGCAGCCATTGTTTATTAAGTAGCAATACATTGGAAGGAAGATTTTCCTGTTGTGCCCCTAACTTCCAGTGGGTGCATACAGTGATTGTATAGTGTCTAGAAATCAGATGGCATTACAGAACGGATGGCTGGCAGAAAAAGAAATGATGGGGGAAAGTGCTGGTTTAAGGAGGATAGGCTGTCAGTGAAGTTAGCAGCTGCTTGATCTTCTCCCACGCTGTAATTCTTGCTCCTAGAACACTGATTTCAAATGGTGCTAGATACAAAGTGGGAAAATCTAAGCCACCATGTGAAACCAGCTTCCAGAGGAAGACAGATCTTGCATGTGGCTGCAGGCTGAGAGGGGAAAGTCCTTCATCTCCACCGTACCTGGAGAAAAATTAATTTATTTGATGTTATTAGAAAGCGAGACGGTGACTGTCGGGTTAGTTATTTTATTGATGTGATTTTGAGCATCTCATGGACAGCTGAGGCTCCTGTAGGAGAAATGAGATGTGTGCTGTAGAAGCCCAATGCTCAGCAGGGACTGTTGTTTCCTTTGCTCGCCAGGTAGAGTAGTAAAGCTCTTAGCAGCAGGTGGTGAAAAACATCTGTTTTCAGTGGTGCTGATTTTGGAGGTGAGGAGGGGGGGGAAAAAAGAAGTTTGTGCCATCCAGAAGCAATCTACCATCCCATTCAGACAGTCAGCCTGTATCCCCTGCCCTGGGGCAGCGTTGTGGCTTTCCATCACTGACTGATCTTGGCGTCAACACAGGACAGGTGGACACACAGCAGTTGGGTGCCCTTGGTGACAGGGGAGGGAAATGTGACTGTCACGATGGGTCAGCTCTCACGTGGTTTGTAAATAGGGTGCTCTTATAGAGCAGACAGGGCTGTGTGAGAAAGCTGAAATCCTGTCAGCAAAAAGGAACTTTTAATGAGAGCAAATTACGTGGAAATGACTTTGAGTTGTGGGCCAGAATGAAACCTAAAAAGGGAGCGTTTGAAAATATAACTGTAAATGGTTCAACAAAAGTTGCTGGGGAGGTGGGAGAGCGTGAAAATGAGCGGCTGACGGCTATTGGGAATGGAAGGGGTGCGAACAGTGCTGTGCTGCAGCCGTGGTGCTTACCCTGCAGCAAACGTGTGGGAAGAGATGGCTGGCTGCAGGCCTGCCAACCACTACACACGTGCAATTTGCCAACTGTCAGACCCCGGCCGCTGTCTCTAACCTGTGCTGACACAGAAGCTGGTTTGAGGTGGAATCGAGGTCAGCAGAAGCGGAGTTGTGAGTTTTACTTACTGATACCCCCGGGTTTTGGCAACTCTTAGCATCAGTTTTGTAACCACACCAAGAATCTGCTTCAGAGTCTACATTTTCTAATGCACACCCACAGATAGCGGAGGAAAGCTCAAGGAAAGAAACATGTCCTTCCAAGAAAGGGGGGGTGGAGGAAGGGGAAGGAGCTGTACTAGATTACAGTCTGGATATTTACTGTAGTTTCTAAATCCATTAACTGGGGCAGCAGGGTGAGTGAAAAGTGGAAAGCAGGTTCCCTCCCCAGTGTCCATCTTGCTGGCACAGTTATTTATGAGGCATCCTATATTATCAGCATAAAGGTTTACTAGTGAGAAGCTGGGCTGCAAGGTACTGCTGCCAGAGGTTGGCTGTGGTGCTGCAAGGACCACTGCAGCATCCTGTGGACACAGGCTCAAAGTGAGGGTCCCTTTGTGGCTGGTTTTGGTTTTGTTTTTTCAATATTGAACACATGCCTTAACAGGAGGAAGAAAGGTGTAGAAAGGTTTTTAAAGGTTGCTGGAAATGTCACTTATGTTTGTGCTGCTGTAAGTGAGAGCATCGCTGGAGATGTGAGGCAGAGGAAGATGGTGAGTGCCTCTGACCCCTTCCCCTCTGCACCTCCCATAGCAGCCAAAACTTCCAGCAATAGCATGCAGCAGTTAAAGACCAATGGCTCACTCATTATTTATAGTTTGATTAAAAACAAATTTCCTTTTGGGTGTGATTAAGATGATGCTGTCCCTCCTGCAGATCTCCCTGGGCCTCACCAAGCTCCCTTTCCCTGCATGCAGCTGGGAGGTGTCAGCCCTTGCTGCCAAGCTGCAGATACACCTTACAGGAAGGATCCATCTGTGACATTGTGTTCTTTTCTTTCCAAACCCAATAGCGTGCTGGGGCAGGCAGCGTGCAGGAGGAAGGAGAAGAGAGCAGCTCAGGACCATGTGATATGCATAGCGTGCATATATGCAAAACCAGAGCTTGTCTCAAGCGTTTGCTGGGTGTGTTGGATGTGTGTGTATGGGGACACGTGCAGAGACAAGCAAATACCATCAGTTAGAGTTGGCTTTGTCAAAGTATTCCAGAGTTTTTGGAAGTAATAGCAAAGAAAGTACGATGTTATTGTTCTTTTTTCCTTTTCTGATGCATTTTAGCAACAGCAGCGGTGTGCTGTAGCTTCCTTCAGAGGAACCTCTCTAAGCCTTTCAGGACTCCATGCTGCTTTATATCCTCTAGACAAGGCAAAAAAAGGCAAGAAATCCCTGTCTGCCCCATGAAAGGGAACCTCCTCCCTAGCTGAGGACCTTTAATGTAGTCTGCAGGAACGTGGCAAGTCAGTGCTGCAGACCTGATTTCTCACAACTGCCTATATATAAGGGCAGTTTCTGGGGATTCTGCAATGAGCATGTTTTTTTTGTTTGTTTTTTCCCCTCTTCATTTTGAAATGCCAGAATTAAATTCTTGGATCATCAATTTCTGGTCTCCCCTGCAGGAAATATCCCTGTTCTGCATGCAGAGCTGAGGCAGAGAGGCAACCCTCAGTCAAGAGATGAGTCAGACCAGGCCAGGTGCAGGACAGAGGGGTGTGACAGTGCAAGTGGTGACCTGTAAGGGGAATTGAAATGAGTGAACTTCTAAGCTTTCAAAAAAAAAATAAGCTTCCTCAGCTCAGGGGAGCGTGTAACTGCATCTGTTTGTTGTGCAGCTTTGTTACTCGGCGGAGTTGCGTGGGTCAGGTATGGACAAATGTGCCCTAACTTGCAGTCTAGGCTAATCATTAGTGTGCAGTGCCTTCTACAGCTGCAGCACTGACCAAGGCTGGGTGCAGGCAGGTAGGTGCTGCACTGCTTTGTGGGTTTGATGCTTGTGACTAGAAGACAGCTCTAGAGATGCTGCTGCTGCTATTCGGGGCAGCACAAACATGCACCTCCCTTGTGAGCTCAGAGCATAATGGAGACTTTATCCTTCATTAGGACCAGAAGAAAAAACTTCAGGTCACATTCCTGAATGAACGGTTTGTTCCTTTAGTTCCACTCTTGCAGCTTAAGAATTGTGCTGGAAATAGTAAAGTGAAAAGCAGGTGCTCAGAGTCTACAAACTCATGCTGCTGTTTTGCTGCACCAGCAAAAAGAAAAGAAGGAGCTTGAACATTGCACCGTGGCATGCTGTGGTGTACAGTACTACAGTCTGTAGGATTTCTAGTCCCACACAGCCTATGGGAGCAATGGGAAAGCCAGATCTGCTTGGGTCACTGATCAGTTTTTACGTACAGCGGAGCCAGCAAACAATCTTTTTCCAGATTATTCAGAGCATACCTGTGATATGCAGCATTGCTGATGGTTGGAGTTGGGTTTGTGTTCAGGTCAGAGTTGCATCTTTGCATTTCCTCTTTGCAGGGTGGTTTCACTCCAGCACATTTGTGTGTGGTTCTCTCTTGGTGCTTTGAGTGAGTTCTGGACTTTGTCCTGCTGTGGTTTTGGTGCCTACCAAAGTTTTCCTGAACAGGGCTGAGCCCTGGCCTGGCAGTCAGCATAGGTGTTGTATTGGTGGTTTGGATGCAGCTAACCTTGTCTTGAGGGCTGAATAACACTAGAATCAGCTCGGATGCATCAGCTGATATGATGGGCTGTAGCAGCCCTCATGTAGTTGTTCTCTTTTTTTCTGTGTTTGGATCTAATAAAAGAGGCTTAAAAATGTCTAAGGAACCCCTTAGGTGTAGGAGATGGTTCTTAACAGTGCAATACTACTAATATAACCGTGATTTATTTGCAAGATCTGCTTGGTTTTTTGTCTGTTTTTAATCCCAAAACTTTGTGTTGGACTGTTAGCACTTATTTGCTATTCTCCTGATTTACTTGTCCTAAAGCTATTCTGAACTGAAGGGAACATTAGCATGGTGATGACTGTAGAGGTGCAAGCCATTAGCATTACAATTTCCGATCTTCTGCTTCCCATCTGCTAATCTGAAATTGTTTTGACCTGTGTGCAGTCATACAGTTCTCTTCCACCTTTACTTTTGTGAGAGTTCCTTTGCAAAGCCACAGCCTGCTTGGAGGGCACAGGAAGCACTGAGCTGCTGAATCCTATTGAGGATTTCAGATGATTCAAAGAACGATGAGGCAAATTCACACAAGGCAGAAAAGCCTTGCAGTTGCATGACCTCGGTCATGGAGAAGCAGTAGGAAGGAATAACAGTTCAAACTCATCAAATGTAGCTATGCACAGCTTGTTTGAACAGCACATCACACAGCTAACCACATCAAAAAAAGTCTCCACTAAAGCAGCTGAAACCAGGAAAGTAATTTTCTGTTCCTGACTCCTGTACCTAAGCATCACCTCAGAATATACAGTGTTATCACACGTCTCGAAAGAAGTCACAGGGAGATTATTGTGATTCGTGTAGTCTATTCAGGAACACCGTGTTTCTCTAGCACTACAGATCCAAATACTTCAGGTAATGTCAAGAAGGGAAGCCCCATTTTTCTTTGTCGTTGAAGAGACAAAAATAATGTCTTGTAGAAGTGGTGAACATAAGGGAACAGCTGCTGCCATTTTTTAACTCAAGTGCAGCCTGCCCTTAAGCCACATGTGTACTCTGCCACATTCTAACACCACTCACAATAGAAGGACCTGGCAAAAAAGCTGGAGAAAATCTCTAACCCAGCTCCCCCAGGCAGTTTGCTTTTTGCCTGTTCCCAACATTCTCATCATCCTTTCTATCACAGAAACATCCCTGTGTTTGAGAGCCACTGCTGCTCTGCATCGGAGCTGCAGAACCAAATGCAGAACGGCGTGCTGGTGGACACGTCGTGTGCACCATTTGCACTGGATAAAGATTGTTTGTGTGGGGAGCTGAAGAGATGTGCTTAACTCAGAAATAGCTCTCTTCCTTGGAAAGCTTAAGGTCTGAATCACACTGTGTTGGCTCAGCTTTTAGCAGACAAGCTATCGCATATGCCTCCCTGTAGGCGAAGAGTCGTCACTGGCATCAGGATTAGCAGCCAGGTTCTTTTCCTTGGGAAACTGGAGAGTAATGCTGCAGGCTAAGGCAGGCTGGAAGCACGGTCAGAGCAAGAAGTGGCCCAGGGCAGGATTGCTGGAGGTGGGTTCGTGGAACTGCAAGCAGGAAGGATCTACTTATGGTGGAGCTTGGCCTGGGCTGGCTCTGCTGGACCCCCACATTCCTCAGCAGTTTAAAAGGAGTCAACCAAACTGTTACTGTGAAGATGGGGACAAAATAAGTTATTTTGCTGAAAATCCTTGAGGCATTAAGTATTCAGTGCTGCCTATGGAGCCGAGAAGACTAGAGCAGGGTATAAAGTATGCCTATTGATGTTGCCCTGAGTAGCCCACTGAAAATACCATTGACATGGACGGGTAGAAATGCCTCAGAAAAAGGTGGAAATCTGGCAGGGGGTGAAGCAGCCTTAGAGCTGAGGTACCTGAAACTGAAAGCAGGTAGCAGCAGTGTGACAGACACCGCTGTGGAGTCGCCTCCTAATGACTCCTAAGGAACAGAAATGCAAATGTATGCACTCTTTTTTTTTTTTTTCCCCTTTGGAACAGAGTGTAAGTTGATGCCTAGTCCTTCAAAATACATCACTCCGTCTCCCAGCAGTCCGAAGGAAAGAAGGGGAGAGAGAGCCAGAACAAAGTTTTTGAGCAAGTTTTTGTAGTTTACTCGAGAAGCAAATTGCAGATCAGGGTTTTAATACTCTGCTGAGATCTGGCGTATTTTGCACCTACGCTTCTAAACTCTGCTGTCCCCCTACTGCAGTAGCTTCACCTTCACTTTCACCCCTCGCCACCAGGTTCAGAGCTCAAGCACTGCAACTGTTGCAAGAAATGTGGACTGGGAGTTCCAGGACCTGACAGTGAGTCAGGAATGACCTTGCAGCGGGCAGCTATTGTACCTCTCGGAGCTGTGCCAGTATAAACGGCACTTGCATCTCAGAGCGCAGTTGAAACCATTTTGTGAGATTCCCATGTTGGCCATTTCTGCTGCCTACTTTGCACCAATCTGGGTGGGTCAGTACAGGGCAGGGTGTTCCCTTCTTACGCCATAACAAGAGCATGGTCCCAGCCCTAGCTCTCAAATATCTGCCTCTCTGTAGGTATACAGAGAATATGGGTGACTCGGGCCTCTCTTGCATGCAACTCCCTCCGTTGGCACCAGTGCTACAGATGCTTAACTAATGCAGCTTTAATCTCAACCTAACCCCCCCGCTACGCCCATATTAAACTGTAAGAAAATGTCCTTATAAAAAAAAAAAAATACAAGGCGACAGTGAATTTTCTGGATAGGTCTGGAAGCGATTTGTAAGAGAAGTGAGGAAGGAATACTTGGCATCTGGACGCTCTAATGAGTTTTCCCAAATAAGAAAAACATTTCCTCATAGACTGTAAGCTTCTCACAGCATCAGTAAAGCTCCTGACACAGAGCCCGACGCTGTATTTGTATGACATGGAAATTAACAGCAGCAGCAGCACTGCAGGCTCAGAGCCTACTCTGTGAGCAACAAAATGGCTAGGGGTGCTGTTGTGTTCATCTGAATTCCTTCACCGTTTGTGGGTGGTAAAATCAGTGGGTGCCAGTATCCCTGCCATGTCAGGTATGGTTGCAAACTTAAGCATCGATGTTAAATTAATGCTTCTAACATTATTCTAGCTTGTGCTCTCATCAGCTCAACCCCACCGAGCAGAGACAGCAACCAACAGCAAAATCGGACTGCGTCACAGATGTAACATGACCATCGGCAAAACAAGTGCAGAAAGATATCATGGCTGTCTCATCGTTCAGACAGCCTTCTTTCAGGATCACAGAAGAATGAGCTGGTAATGCTTTTACATTTGTGTCATGAGCGTTTGTGATTCTTAACTGTCCCAAATTTTGCAGGCTTTGAACGGTCTAAACTCAAAAGAAAATGGCACGTATTTTGCCAGCAGACCCCATGCACTGCTGAACGCTGCGTCACAATGCCGCACTAAGGCTGAGAGTGCAATAAACCCTGCTTTAAAAAGAAGGGAAACCAAAATATTGAGAAATACGTCAGTTTACCCAAGTGTCAGAGGGAGAAAGGGTAGACAGCTTTAGCAAGACCTTCTGAGGCAATACACAGGAAACCATTGTGGAGCAGCTAGCCGTGTACAGCTAACATATAGCATTCACATGCACAAAATACCACTGTCCTACAGAAATATGCCCTGTCCCCTTCTTAGCCTTGTTTCTTGCAAGCCTCACAGATTCCACCTGCTGCTAGTAACCTCAATTCCTGACTAATGCTATTTACAGACTAAGTTTAACATTGAACTAACTCCTCTCTCTCTGTCTCCTTTTCCTGCCTGCACTTAGTTGCAAACTATCAAAAAGACAGGAGCAAAAATAAATGCATCTTTACATTGAACGCAGCTACTCAAGAGCATGCATACCCTTACTATAGTGGTGGCCAGTTGCACCTTCTTCCAAGGCACTGAGAAATGCCATTAAGATGCACTGCCTTTGCAAATTAATGGGGTCCTCCATCCCCCTGCTGTGATGAGGGAAAAACATGGAGGGTTCTCCCTTCGGATAGGCTTAAGCCCCTGTTCTCCCACGTAAAAAAGAATCAGTTCTTAGTATAGCTGCTGGCTGGACAGAATTCCCTCCGTGGCTGCCTTGCACTGTTCCCACAGATGTGTGTATTTATGCCTGTCCATCTTGCTGTAGGGACCACCATTGCTGCTGCTATTCCAGTTGCTCCCCTGCTCTGCGGAACTGGCGCTGCAGGAGGCAAGGATGCTCCAGCCAGCGATGGGCTCAGTGAGTCAGGAGGGGCTGTGATGACTGCAGCAGGAGCTGAACCCCCCCCTGGAATCCGGCAGGAAAGGAGAGGAGGCGAGGAAGGTAGAGATGGGGAACAGGAACAACCCGGGGAGTGGCACCTACTGTCTGTTTGCTTCTTCCCTCCCTGCTCTTGCCACCACACTGCTGTTGGAAATGGCGTCCTCCCCTCTGGGTTACTGCGCAAAGAAATGGTCGGGCATAAAACCGCAGCGCTCGCGGCCTGTATCAGCCTGCAGCCCCAACCTGGGCAGATGCAATGTGCCAGCACAGCCCCTGCCTTCAGCCTGACAACCAGAGGAGAGGCACTGCTGTGACCGTAGCAGTGCAGTGCTCAAGCTGGATCTAAACCCAGAGGTTGTTGCTAAACAACCGGTCCTGACGCTTGGTATGTCAGTGAGTGACGAATATAGATTAAATGCTTATGCTACCACATCCTTAAACTTGGTTAAGCCTTGGTGTGATGAAGGGCTATGGGATAACGTGCCCTGCTGTACAAGAAAGCAAAGTTACTGCTCTGTGCTTAATCGGGTGACTTCCAAAGCCAGAAGGATTGAGTTCAGAGTCAGCTGTGTCCTCAGAACTTCCCCGCACATCTTCACTGATGGGCACTTGAGAAGAGAGGTGACAAAACAGCACAGTAATTGGTGCAGGGAATGAAGCATTCTCCTCTCGGCATCTCTTTGGCCATTCTGGCACAGCTGCCTGCCCACACTCTGTCCGTCCTTCCCTCCCTGTCGTGTCCTCCTTCCTGCCCACGTCCTAACTCTGCCCTTCCTTCTGCATCGTTTCCAGGTTCCCCGAGCAGCTCGCAGTGCCTAACCACCGCCTAAGGAAGAGGAAAAGAAGGAAGGAAAGGAAGAAATAAAAGCCCCGAAGCCAAGCTCTTTCCGTGGTGGAGCTTGGCAGCTCTGACACGTCATCGTGACAACGGCACAGCAAAGCGAAACCTTTCCGGCGCCGGCGCTGGGCAGGCAGGAGGCGGGGACCGAACCCGTGGACCGAACCCGGGGCAGCAGACAGACCGCGCCGCAGGGCCGGACCGGGCCGGGAGCCCCCGGCACTTTGAGACGAGCGCAGCCAACATTCGGATTTGACACCAGGCTCTCGGCCAATCCGAGAAGGCTTTTCACCTGCCATCGCCTCCTCCGCCAATCAGACGGCGTGTTTGGGCCGAGAGCCCTCCCCGGCCAATCGGGAGCCGGCTGAGCCACTTAGTTAATGATGCAGCAGTACAGGGAAGACTATCACATGTGAGCTGGAAGGCTGCCAACATGGAGACACGGAGAGAGCAAGGTAAACAACTTTCCAACGCCAAAATGATGACATTTAATCCCTAAATGCTAGCTTCCCGTCTCGACTCATCCTTAACCCCTTTCAGCTGGTGTGGAAGCGTCTGGAAGGCACCGTGTACCTGTCCCCAATGCTTTTAAAAACTGGCCGACGTGCCCTGCAATGATCACTGCGTCACCGTTTGCCACTTTCTGAACTACGCAGTGACAAAGCCCTGAACCCAGCTCACGGGGTGGCTGTTAACCCCTGCACCCAGCCCTGCCTCCACGCCAGCCCTCGGGGGGACGGCAGGGAATAAAAAGCCTGAGCAAAACACGAAAACAGCAGTCTGCAAAGTTGTCATCTCTCTCCCACGACTGCTGCCCTCCTCTGCATTACAGCAATGCTGGCAAGAGTGGCATTCGTACAACCTGTGCCGACGTTCCATTGAGAAAACAGCTCTGACGCAGAGCAGAGCAATCATACCCAGCCGAAATAATAATGAAGGCACTTGGGGAGCTGAACTTAGGGACGATGGGGGAAGGGGACGCCCTGCAAAGCATTACAAAACGTAGATGCAGCTCCAGCCCCATCCTGATCAAAGGGTACGTACGTGGGAAAGACGAACCGGACCGAGGAGCTCTGCCCGTGCACCAGCTGCGCAGCGTTCAGCCCTCCGCTTGCTGTGTAGCGCCGCAGAATAGAAGGTTCCAGAAATTTCCTTTCCGTTAACCCTTTCGGTGTCTGCCCACTCTCCCTCCCCGCGGGATTAAGTGCGCCGGGTCTCCAGCATCGTCAATGGGCGAAGCCTCCTACGCCAACCGAGCCCAGATACGTTCTCTAAATGACACCGTCTGGTGACAGGAGCTCCGTCCCTGGTGTTGGTGTTACTTCTCTTTCTTGAGCCCTCTCTCCCTCTCCGGCTGCTTCTCTCCCCTCTTGCTGCAGCAGGGCTGTTGCTGGTAGACCTATCGACGGAGCTTGCTCTCTCGCTCTCTCGCTGAGCTCTGTGACGCAGCTCTAAATTCTCCAGCCTGCTCCCTGTGTTATAACAGCGGAACTGCAGCCTTCCAGGGAGCCCGTGCCAGCAGTGCCAGGGCCAGGCACACCGAGGGAGCCTCGCTCCTGGACGCTGCACCTTTTCTTGGTGATTATTATGTTCCTCACCTGTGCTTCTGTGCTGCCTTCCGACTCTCTCAGCCTCGCATCTCCCTCTCTGCTTCTGAGTCATGCTTGCTGGGTTAACTCTTTTAGGATTGGTAGTCAGCAGCACAAATCTCAAATGAGCGCAGCTGAAACCACAGCCAACTTTGTGGTGGTTTCTGCTTTAAAAAAACCAAAGCAAATCTTCTTGGCTCTAAGAAACAAAAACACACACACACACACGTTCCAGTAGAGAGTTAGTGCTTCTCGATTAACTGTTTCGGTGTCAGGAACCACTGCTTGCTGCCCTGAAATAAAGGGATCTGGGCCTACATCCTGCGAATACTCAGTCAACGTTACCTTGTAGCACAAAGCAACCTAAAAGGAATCACTCATAGGAATGGATGCGGGACTTCTGGACATAAAAGCACAGAAATGCTGCTGGATCCACGTGATCATGTTATGCTTGTTGCAAGACATTGATCTGACTGTGGTTCAGCCACTGAGCAGAAGTGTGTAGGATAAGGTACTGAAAGTGCTAGGAACTACTTAATCTGAACAGTATTAATAAGTGTTGCTGCACACACAGATTCAGAATGCTCAGTGTAGGCAGGGGAACTAATAGCTGCATTCTGGGAGTCTCCAGAATCCAATCATCTCTGTCAAAAAGGTTCGCCAGCAGCTGCATATTGCAGCACAGCAGGCACAGCCAGGCAAGCAAAGTGCTGCTGCTGAGTGGCTCTCCTCTCCCATAGTCCTCAGCCTTGTGTTAGTTCCAGTGCAGTCAACTTCAGCACCAGGCAGAGGAAGCGCTGCTCCTGTCTCGGAGCCTCGAAACCGGAAAATGTGGAGGAGGATCAGTGGTAGATGGAGCATCTGGGAATCAAAGCGGAGCTAATGGAAAGCCAGCCCTGCGTGAGGGAGTTCATGCGTCAGACTGCATGTACAACAGAGCCAGCAGCCCGTTTGAAAACCTCGGAATCAGGAGAGATCACTACGCAGAGGCATCTGCCATTTTAGTGCTGAGCTCTGGAGCTGGCTGTGAGCTTTGGGCTTTTCACTACAACCAGGGCTGAAGTAACCACTATTTTTTTTTTTCTCTTTACAGCGTCTGAAGAGCCTGAGCTATTTTGGGATTTGTCTGTACTACACTGAAAATGACACCTGTTACACACAGACATAAATGAGAAGAATTGCGAGCTCCTGGTTTCTCAGATACAGTTCTGCCATGGAAAAAAGATGGGAGCTGGGGATGTGGGAGGGCAGCGTGGGGTGAGGAGCTGGCCCTTGTGAACTGAATTGTCAGCAGTACAGGGAGCACAAGGCTTGTTGTATCTGATGCAGACCTCCTGTGACCAAGAGCAGTAATGCTTGATCAACGAAATGCTGCAAGATGGGGTTTCCTTACACGACCAAACGCATGGGATTTCAAGCCTTACAGATCTGCTCTGTGGCCAAAGCTGCAAGCGTTAACTGTTTCAGTTAATTGTAAGAGTGCTTTGGCTACTTAAATGAGTCACTCAGCAGTGATGCTCTGAAGTAGGCCAGCACGTCGTGCAAGGTTGCGCAGTCAGTTTCCGTTACTCCTGAGTTACCTCAGAAGCTCAACCAACACAGAGGCAGAGAAGATTTCGGTGTTCCCCATTGCTGTGTCTGCCTGCAGCTGATCTGATCTGCAGTACCCACAGGTGCCAGCCCTGTTCAGACCACCCTGCAGCCCCCAGGCACTGAGCATGGCAGTGGGATGGACAGAGCCTGAGGAGCTGGGACAGCTGATGGGCATGCTTGGCTCCCAGCAACGCTGGTATATTAAGAAAATAAAATGGAGCTTTGGTTTATTTCAAATTACATGCTTTTGGTTGCTTTCAAGGGAAAGGCAGTGTTTATTTAATGGGTTGCTTTCGTTTGAAAATGACCAGCCGTGAGACATTTCTCTCTTCACCTGATCATAAAGTATTTACTCTGTGGAGGCACTTCAGCTCCCATGAAGGATCAAAGCCGCTGTGCCCTGCGAAGCACTCAGGTACGCAGCTAAAAACACACAGTGATGGACAGCTTGGTTGGAATATGGCGTTGGCCTGCGAGCTGAAGTAAGCTGAAAACAAACCCTGTCATTCCATGGTAGAAATCAGGGCTCCTGTTTTAAGTGGAGCCTATGGACGTACATGGTGCCACCTTATTATTATTATTTTTTTAATCATCAGAATTTTGGTTTTGTAAAGACTGGGAGGAAGCAATGTCCAGCGCTAGAAAGGGAGCTTGGCAGCTGGAAAGAGCCTGTGGCAGAGGTGGGAGGCAGCCAGAGGGGTCTGGCTGTGTGTGTTACAGTGGCTGTGTCCATTCTAAAGAGGGACAGGTGTTTGGGAAAGGACTGGAAAGCAATTCATCAGCGAGCAGAAGTGCAGGCTTGCTGCTGTTTGTACGCCAACGGAACGTAGAGCTGCATCCTCAGTTCTTTGGCATCTTCTGTGTTATTTTCTGCTGTCATGCTACAATGGCCTTAATAGCAATAACATACGGAGGGTGAAGTTATGAAAATCTAACACTTGCAAATGTCATCCAATGCCTTGTGGTGTTGTGGGTGATAAAATAACTTTGGCTGTCCCTGGAGAAAGGTCCTTGGTCTTTTTAATGATGAGCAGAGCCCCAGCGGTGCTGCGCAGTGCTTCAGCTTCCCTCTGGTGAAGGCTTGGCTCCAGTTCCACTTTAAATGCCATCAGCCACACCTTCCTCCCAACTGCAGGAAGCTGCGATTGTTAAAATCAGGGCATGTTCCTGTTTAACTAAAAGGCTGAGATCAAATAAGCCAAAGGCCTCAGCAATGCCAAACAAATTCCTGCCCAAGGCTCAGCAAGTCTGTGCAGCTGTAAATGTGTGTAAGTGCCCGACCTCAGCGTCCACGTGAATGACGTCTCAACGCGTCACCCTGGGAGCAGGCAGTCAGAATGTGGGCCAGTTAATGTCACACTGAGTAACAGTGCTTATCACAAAGGTCTTCAGTTTGCCAACCAAATGTCCTGAACACCAAGCCGTGATGTTCGGTGATGTTTCTCAGGTGTGCTGACGTGGCATCCTGCATTGTATTTGAAATTAATGCAGTTTTGGGGATGGGAAGACTGAATCAAATGAAGGTGTAGTCATTTGGCTCAGATTGCATGTGGATTCAGGGTCAAAGCTGAGATGGAAATTTGGGAGTTCCTAAATCCTAAATTTTACTCCAGCTGCGCCTCTTGCTTAATTGTAGTCCTTTCTGAAGTCAATTAGAGAGCCATCTGAAACAGAAGCTGCCGGAACAGTGTGGCTTTTAAAGGAAATTGATAGGAAATCATTTAGAGGAGGTACTTTCTTTCGTTTTTCAAAGAAAAGCAGAAATAAAACTTTAAAGTTTTGCTTCTGTTTTCACATGGACGTAGGCAGTGACAGATGGGTTGTGGTCCCACAGTGCTGTCCTATCAGAGAGACGGTCTGGATGTCTGGACCCCCAGCTGGGTCCATGGGGGAATGTTCTACACAGTACAGTGTGCTGAATTTCCTTCTGCTGCAACAGTAATAGGAAAGTTACCGAGTCAAACGTTTAAGTTTAGCATGTTGTTTTGTTTTGTTCTGCTTTTCCTGAAAGGTTTATTGCTATCCAGATGATTTTCGTTAGTGAATATGAGAGGAATGGCTTCTGGAGTGTTTGCAGTGATTCCTGGCTGTGATGAACTCAACCACCATCTCTGTGACACTCATCTTTGCCAGCCCAGCGTGTGCACACTGCGGTCCCAACCCAACCACAGAGCAGGTAGGCGTATTAATAGCAGTACAAACCCCTTCTGGAGCACTTCTGAGCTTGTTTTTTTTGCACCTACCCAGGTGTGCAGGGGAAAGAATTGGCTTTTTATAAAGTTCATTCTGTTCTCACTGTGTTGCAGGCACTGTTCAGCTGTTGGGTGGGTTCTCATCGTCCTTTCAGGGTTTGGGGGTTTCAAGGGAAGGAGATGGAATAGCTGCCATTGAGATCAAAGGCTAGAGGTGTGGGTTAGATCCCAGCAACTGCCAAGGGTGAAATGGTGTTGGGTGTTGGGATTTGCATCGAAGCTTTGCATTTTCTGTGCAATAAGGATGGCACCAAAATGGAAACCTGCAGGTGACAAACCTGGCCGTCCCTTTGAAAAGCCGCAGTCTGGCGTTTGTCCTTTGAAGCCTAAGAAAATCCCAGCTGGAAGAGCTGAGATCCTTTTCAAAGGGATGGCACCACAGGAACGGAGAGGCTGCTTCCAAGCACAGTGGATGCCCTGTGATGAAGTCAGGTTTGGGGCATCAGCATCCCCCAGCCCCAGCTCAGCTCACTGCCTTGCAGCAGCCCCGACCCTCCCGAGCTGTGGGTTTTGCTCACTTCCAAATCCAAGGAGCCAACAGTGCTGAGACAAAAGTAATTATTTCAGCTATTAGCTGCTAAGAATAGAGCCCGCGGGGGTGCTCTGCATGGCTGAGGTGCACTGACAGCACAGTTGGAGGTAGCAGGGATTGCAGTGGAAGCACAGAAATAGCCGTTCTCTGCACTCAGCACTTTGAAGCTTCATGAGTCACCGAAATA